TCCTTTATGAAGGCATAGAGCCTTTACTACATGAAAATGAAAATTAATGAATACACTGTGTACAGTAATTTGCCTGATAAGACAGACCTCAGAAAAATACTTTATGAGGCATAAAGCTGTCTTTATCATGAAAATTAATTAACTAAGAATTTTTTTGCCCTGCCAGGGTGTGGTCAAGTTATCCGGAGTGCTGGGTTATCGAGTGCTGAGTTTTTGAGGCTCTACTGTATAAAGTATAATAGGATCTTAATACTTATTGATGTAATATTATTAAATTAATTAATATAACAGTAAGCAAAAATTTTAAAACTTACTTGAACTGAAAGTTGAAGTTTGAAATGAGGATTAATAAGGTAAAATTATGTTGCAAAGGTTGTTTATTAAATTAAGTAAAATTTTATGCAGAAAGAATCTCATAAAAATATTAATAAAAAAATTAATATACCATTAAAAAAACATATTTAATATAATGAATAATAATAATACAGTAATATAAAAATTTAACAATGTTTGTATAGCAAACATATTAATAAATTTTTTTTCTTATTATTTTTGTTAATTAGAAATGAAATCTCTGCTTGATAATTGATTCTGCTTACAAAATAAATCAAAAACTATATCTAAGTTAAAAAAGTATTTAAATTTGTATTACTCAATGTTTAGTAATATTGCTTGACTATTGCTATTTTATTATATGAAATTATATTAAATTTAATTTGTGTTACTAGAAGCTTGTCTACATAAATACTGAAACTTGAGTATTAGCTTTCTGATGAAAAACTGAATAGGAAAAGTACAGATCAGAAAAATTTGTGAATTCTGTTTTGTTGACCAGTATTTTTTTAAAATTCTGGATGATAATTTTTGTATTAATTAAATTCTGTCTAAAAAGTCATCTTTTATTCACTTTTATATTTCAGAATGAATCCCATGATGACCTCACTTTTCCTTTTAGGCTATTTGGTCACCAAAATATTTTAAGTTTTCCTTAAATCATGAAAAAAATATCAGATTAAAAGATAATACTTTTTAAAAATTGAAATAGAAATAGATGGGATGTATTCCAGAACTTGAAAATGAATAAAAGGTGATTTTTATCAATGGACTCTTTCTTCAGTTTCAATTAAAACAGATATCAGCTGTTAAATACCTAAAAGTTGTATGTCTGTAAGTCAGTAATCACTGCAAAAGCAATGTAATGTTAATTTTTTTTTATTCCCATGGCCCAGTGAATCAGCTGGAGAGTAAAATTTGTTTAAAAGCAAATTTCATTCTTTAATTGTTTGCAACTTGATTAAAAGTCTGCAATTAATATTAAAGTCAAAATCTCTAGTATTGTATTGTCTAATCATTGTTTAACACATTATCAACTATTTCATGTATACTTAGCACCATATTACGATAAATATTTATTAAGAATGCTTCAAGAAGTCAAATCTTCAATTGATTAATAAAAAATATTTTTGTCCTGATCAAGGATAACATCAGCTTACAATTCACCACATAAATACCAATATTATTGTTCTTTAAAGTTAACCAAAGATTGAATATTTTATAATTTCCAGCAACTCAAACATTATTTAAAACAAAATATCTGAGTTTTCATTTTTAAATAATGTTCAATTTGCATGTGGATTTTTGTTTTTAAATAAAATTTGATTAACTAGAAGTTATCAAATATTCAATCTTTCGTTAACTTTAAAGACTAATGATATTTATATTCATTTTGTGTGAATTATGAACTGAACTGGGTCTGGAGAAAAATGTTATCTTATTGATCAATTAAAGATTTAGCTTCCTAAAGTAAACATTCTTAATAAGTATCTACATGATATTAGCAGCCTGCTTTTTTGCCAAAACTTTCTTTTTAACAATATTTACAAAATATTTCAATGAAGAAAAAACTTTGCTTAAGTGTATTTATCTGCTAGAAATCATTTTGGCAATTTTTTCTAATCTGCTTCAAAACAGACAGTATCTTAAGAGGAATTTGAAAATATTTACCTTGACATTTTTGATTCAGTTTAATTCCAAAACTCTAATATTTAAGTTTTATCATTTAATTTAGGATATAATATTAATATAATATTTTAACTTATATAATATTTTAACTTATTTCACAAAATATTGTCATTGTGAATTCTTTATTTTACTACATTGTCAAAACTAGTCAAGAAAAAATTGTCAATGCAATAGTTGTGAAAACAAATTACAAGTGTAATCTAAATATATAAAATTACTTGTCCTGAGTGATTGATTCATCATTGCCCAGAGCAAACTGCTAAACCTAAAGAGGTGAAATTTGGTACACAGTTAGGGTATGTCATGAAAATGCAACTAAGAAGGGGTTTTTGGAAATTCCCCTGTGGGGGTAGAGGGAGAGCATTAAGGCTTAACCTGAAGAATGGCTTTTACTGTACTATTTGTTTTTAACTGCGTTTTAGTAGGGTACGCCATGAGAATGCACGCCAAGAAGAGATTTTTCGAATTCCCCATGAGGCAGAGAAGATTGTCTTAACCTGAAGAATGGCTTCTGCTGTACTATTTTAGATGCAATTTTTTGTTTTCAACTACATTTAGTTTTCATTAGGTGTATTAAATTGATAACATTTCAGACACTGTTATAAATATTTTTATATATTTTGATTTTTAACCAAATGTTTGAACCGTTTTAAATTCAAATTTGTTATTGCATATTGGTTCGATTATAGAACAATTGTAAACGTTTTAGAAAATTGATCAAATTGAAAACAGTTAGTTTGATTCTCAGTAATTCTCATCATTCTCAGTAGTAGGTGTTATATAACAATTTCTATGGTTGTTGAAATACTGAATATAAATGGGGTTTGCTTGCAAAATCTGTGTGGGCGAAGTCATGGGTAACAGCTAGTATTTGCATATTTATGTTGAAAAGAAAAGGCCAAAAGAAAATATTTTTAATTAGCTTTTAGGATATTTTTGTACAAAAAATAACTTTCTGTTTAATGCAGAAAATGCATATATTTTGTTTTAATTAAAATAAGATTTTTTCCTCTTGATTAAAATGTTTCACTAATTCAATATTTAAATTAAATACAAAGTTTATGTTAATTTTATCATTATAATATAAAATAACATTGATTACAATCAAACACAACTTAATTAGAAATATACAAGATTAAAATAAACAACAAAATTTATCCAATATTTAACTAAACAGAGTAAGAAAAAATGATAGAATCATTAATTTTTCACTATTTATCTTTGTATTATCATAAAAGCTAAATACACTACACCCTTGATGTTTGTGGATGTCAGTGTTTAAGAATTTGATCATACATGATTGGAAATTTATGTACCAAAATTTCAACTTTTTTGAATGGTTTTGACTGCAGGAAATGGGAAATTACATGCTACTGTAAACTGAAATTGGTGCTTTGTGAACTGGATGTTTGTGCTAGTATAACATCCCTTTCCCCCTTTTTGTGTTAGTATGATTGGTCAAGCACCTGTTGAAAACTTAATTTTGCCCAGGTTTGTTAACATGCATGTAACAGTCGCAGTTGCTTTTTTTTGAGTTAACATTTAGTAGAATTACATTTCATTGTGTGTGTGTGTGTGTGTGTTGTGTTTGTATTTAGAGTGACTTAGAAATGGAGATGGTATAGAAATTACATTTGTTGGAGAAGAAAATATTTGGGCCAATGATACTATAAATGGCTCCGAAGAAGAAATATGTTGTGTGAAGTTGAAATTTAATGAAAAAATTAAAGAATACAATAGTAAGAATGACAACATAATAAAAAAAAAAAACCTTAGACAACTTCAAGTGTAAATGAAGTGGTCTGTGAAATTTTAGATTCAAGAAACCCTGACAAGAAGAAAAGTAGCAAGCAGTACAGACTAATTAAGAAATATAATACAATGGAGATTGGAGAGAATCGAGTTTTAATTAAGAAAAGAAAAAGCAATGACGATCCTTTTGTGATAATTCTTCCTATTGAGGGATATTTTGATGTGTTACTTCAATATCATTGCTCAACAGGTCATGGAGGTTGTGATAAAATGTTATTTTCTCTGAAAAGTAAGTTTTACACATGTAAAAATATTTTGGTGTGCCTTATATTTTGCAGAGTGACAACAGAAAAGTGTTCATGGCTAATGTCATTAGCAACTTTCAGTTATATGGCCTGAATGTAAAATAATGACCCTGAACATACAGTCTTGGATGGGTGATACCAGTATCACCCATCCAAGACTGTAGTACAGACTGGGTAATAGGTACCATTTCATCCAGTGGCAAAAGAACTCTTCTAAGTATCAAGTTTTAGGCAGAAGTCTGTATACAGCACTTTTTGGATCAGAACCAAAATTAGGATTAGAGTCAACAAATATTTCACCAGAAATTTTACAAACTCTTCATAGTGAAGAAGATTTGGAACTCTTCATAGTGTATAATAATCTTACTTAGACATCTATCTGCTGTTTGGGTAATAAGCCTTGCATGTCTTCAGTGTATTACAATAAGCCTAGAATTGATCAGGTTAATTAAACAAACTGAAGTTCACTTTCTTAATTCCCTAATACTCTGTAGCTGAATGCAAAATGCCTAAGGAATGTCAGGTTGAATAGCAAATAGATGATTTTCCGATTTGCCTACGACATATATACACAATGCAAAATAATAGCAATATTTGTAAGAAACAGAAATTAAACTTATATAATTGACATATAAGAAACATATTAAATGATTTGAAAAATTTTTTACAAGCCTATTATTTTCCTAATTTTTGAAATAATATACTAAAGAATGTTGTGTATGAATGTGATGTATATATATATATATTTTTTTTTTTTAACTATTTCAGGATTTGATAAAAGAATGGGGGAAATTCTTCATACTGATTTAGAATGTCCACCTTCTCCAGCTCGTCTTGAATATACTTCAGAAAAACATCCTAGACATACATTAGAAGCCATTAATTTGTTACATAAACATAGAGAATTATGTGATGTTGTACTTATAGTTGGTGCTCGAAAAATATTTGCTCATAGAGTTATTCTTTCAGCTTGTTCACCATATTTTCATGCCATGTTTACAGGAGAATTAGCAGAGAGTAGACAGACAGAGGTAAATATTAATTTTTTAATTATTAATGATTATTGTTTCCCAAAATAATTGAAAATTACAACTTTACAGGTAACTATTCGTGACATTGATGAACATGCAATGGAATTATTAATTGACTTTGCATATACTTCTCATATTGTTGTTGAAGAGAACAATGTGCAAGTATTACTTCCTGCAGCTTGTCTTCTGCAAATGGTAGAAATACAAGAAGTTTGTTGTGAGTTCCTGAAACGACAACTTGATCCCTCCAATTGTCTTGGAATAAGAGCCTTTGCAGATACTCATTCCTGTCGTGAACTTTTACGCATTGCTGACAAATTTACACAGCATAATTTCCAAGAGGTTTGTTGTTTGTTTTATATTATTAGTCTTATCAAAATTTATTTTCTATGTGAAAAATTGAAATATTGTAATTACAGGTTATGGAAAGTGAAGAATTTTTACTCTTGCCTGTAAACCAATTAATTGACATTATATCAAGTGATGAACTGAATGTCCGTAGTGAAGAACAGGTATTCAGTTCAGTCATGTCATGGGTAAAATATAATGTTACTGAAAGACATCAACATTTAGCACAGGTAAAATTTTTCAAAATTAATTGCTTTTTTATGTTTTTGAATAATTTTTTACTTATTTTTAATTTTACTGATTCATTTTAGGTATTGCAACATGTCCGTTTGCCACTTCTTAGCCCAAAATTTCTTGTGGGAACAGTTGGTTCTGAGGCATTAATCAAAAGAGATGAAGCATGTCGAGATTTAGTAGATGAAGCAAAAAATTATCTTCTTCTTCCTCAAGAACGTCCATTGATGCAGGGTCCAAGAACTAGACCTCGTAAACCTGTACGTAGAGGAGAAGTTCTCTTTGCAGGTATATATTTAACTATTTTTTAAAATTTGCTTTATCTTTAACTTGCATTGGTTTTTTATAAATGTCATTAAATAATGTATTACAAATCTTACAAATGATATTTTTGAAGCATAATCTAAATTTATAAGTTAACCACTTACGTTTGTAAAAATTCTTTCTGTAACATTGTAAAATGTCATTGTAATCATTAGTATAACAAAATTATTAGTACAAAAACATTTATTTTTAATCTTCCACTAATTTACCTTTCATCTTAACTTAAAAATTATTAAATTTAATGGATATTACTATAGTGAAAATTTTAGTTTAATTTAATTAAAGTTTGACCCTTTATGAAAGAAAGTGATCATTATAATGAAATCTGTAAATATATAAATTTGTTTTCTTTTCTTGTCAATGGATACTATTTTAACATTTATCTGGCAACAGATTTTTGTCATAATTGTCTAGTTTATAATATAGTCTCATTACCTCACAGTTATCTAATATCTTGACTTTAGCTAGTGTCTTAGAACAGGGATGGGCAACCTTTATCTATGTAAGGGCCGCATTTCAAAACTTACACTGATGTGATCCGCATACAAGAGAAAAGAGGGGGGAAATGTCTGTAAATCACAATTATTTATTCATATATAGCATAGGTATACTTAATTTAGCTTCTGGAACTGATATAAATGTAATTGTGAAATCCGTGATTTTTACGCCGATGTTGGACAAATCTTTGTAAACAACTCCAATGAAAAAAACACTCTTGGTGAGAAGTATATCGGAGGTCACTGATTGTTTTCACACTTAGGTGGGAAAGTTGACACTTAGTTGATTGGAATGCACCGTTAGTGTCAACAGAAGTCGATCATGTGACTCCTTTCCCACAAAAAACTTATAAAAGCTCAAGTCCCTGGAAGCTCTGGGTGACCAAAGGAAGTTATACTTATTACTGTGTACATCTTGTTTCCATACTCCAGACATAGCGACCGAAAGGACATCGCCATACGACAAGACAACAACTTTGAACTTCCATCACCATTCTACAGTTCCTGTGCCAACTACGATTCATACGGCCCATTCGACAAATGCATATTAGGCATATCCTCATAGAGGTATTTATATTTTCAAGCATTGCAAACTCTCTCTCTCTCAGAATAGCCGTTAAAGCTGTTAGAGCAGCCCTTTTGTACCGTGAACATATTTAACCACATTTAACCTATATATTGTTATAGCCTCGTGTCTCTTAGCTTTAATATAATAATAAATGCTTGTTTATTTTCTTAAACCTGTCGTCTATTGTTGTACCTGCCGGCTTACTGACACACTCCCCACTCACTTTTTTGCCCTTCTAGCCATCCTACGGCTGCAAGATCGGCTTTTACCAACTTTGTGCAGCATAAGTGGTCATTGGGGATTAACCCCTGACCCTCTGCTTATCTCACATAATATATTGGAAATATTTGGTTAAATATTAGTCACTGCTAGTTTTAAATTAGTTTTGATGTGTCTGTTAGCCAGTTTCTTGTTTTAATATTTACTAAATTCATTGCGGAAAAACTATTTACATACATAAGTTGTAGAAAATAACGTTTGAATTTTTGCTGAATATTTCCTTAAGCTGGGAAATTGATATATTTATTCATATTTTATGCGACATGGGCCACAAAAAATATTACTGCAGGCTATGGGTTGCCCATCACTGTCTTAGAAGATGAAGTCAAGATTATTATTATGGATGCAGTTGATATGACAAAGACTGCCATTTTCTGATGAAACAAAAAGATATGCCAGATAGCATATTGGAATGGTTTAACATGAGAATTTAAGTATAGCAATAAACAACAAATATTCTGGAGAATGGTTTATCAGTGATGCTGCTACTTCATGCATAAACTGTTTGTTCAAGACAGTGCAAGAATAAACAAAGATGGCTAGTTGGTCAAAGTGATAAAGAATAACAAGTTTATCTTTGAGTTGATTCCCAAATTTTTCAGGAGTGAGTTGACCTGAATATGTTGGACTTCATTTTTCACCAGCTGGTCATCCCCATTATGAGCCTGGCCAAACCCATAATAGGCAAGATTAAAAGGTATTAAGTACCCACAGAGTGGAAAGACTAAAAATGAAAAGATAGAAATATAAATTGTTGATTCATTTTGGTTTTTTATAGAATTTTAGAAGTGCAAAATTTACTTTAACTAGCAGTGTTAGAAAAACTATGATTTTAAAGATTCCTTGCTGTGAAGATGTAAGAGTTTTTCATTTTTTTTATAGCTTTTTCAACATTGTGACATTTTTATTATGTTTCAGTATAATAAAATTTCACTATAAGAATGTATTTCAGTAATCCCTACAATTTTGTTACATCTATATTTTATTGTATAATTTTTGTATAATGTCCCCAATTTTATTATAATACAGAACTTGATTTCTGTATTGTTGTTGTGATGTCAATGGTAAAAATTACATCATTTGTTTATTATTCAGACTGTTTTAGGTATATTTTATATGTATTTTTGGTTACATGTTATCTTTTTAAATTAATTTAAATTATTTTCTTATTGGTTTATGTTAAATTTAAAAATTTGTATTTTGTTCTTTTCAAAATCCAATACAGTATTAGTTATATATTCGATTCTAATTAAATCATTCAATTTCTTAAGTTATTCTAACCGTTTATAACTGAGGAAGACACAAAAATAGAGGTTTAAAACGTTTTTTAATTCATTAAATTTCTTTGCTGGATAAAAAAAAAGTACGTTTTCTGTTATTTTTAGTTTTACTCATCCTGTTTCTATGTATATCATATATAAATGAGAATGTTTGTATGTTTGTTTGTTTTCTATATACGTCTAGGCTGTTTGACCAACTACTATGAAACTCGGCAGTTATGTTCAAATACTTCTAACTTAGATAATGTCGTACATCCCACTCCAAATTATAAATTGAATTTCTATGTATCAATTAAGTTCCATCTACAAGTTTGATTGCTGACTTTACATGTAGTGCCATTTATTGGAAAAAATTTAACAAAATAATTAACTAAATATAATTATTACAAAAAATATATATATAATTTTAAAAAATATGTATTATATTCACCAAATTACAGCAATAATAATATAACACGAAATAGATGTACTATTATGCCATTACAGTGACAGGTAGCACATAGCACTTGCCTACATGTGTAGTAGTGGTTTGCCCCTGTACATCATACATTTCCTGTTAGCAACAGAATCATGCTGGTTATGTATCTAACTCTGTTCAGGGGAAAATTTTTGAATTTAAATAATATGAGCTGCAGTACAAAACAAAAGTTCATATAAAGTTAATCTGGTCCTCTTTCTCTTATAATTTCCATGTTGGATCTCAACTTTTATCTGTCTAACTCCATTCTTGAGATTAAGGAAGGACGGAGACAGACGAACAACAGTGGGAATTTATAGGTTACAATTTTTTCAAATTGCAGCACAGTAAATACCTTCCAGTAACTAAGTGGATAAAATCACTGAACACCAATAGTTGGTCATGGATTCACATGTGGCCAATGAACTGGTCATGTAGAGGCTTCTGGGTTTTCTTACACTTAAGTAACACTTAAATAACATTTAAATTGTGGCCGGCTTTACATAACAGTCTTTCCAGGATGCATCCTATTTGGCAGATTGCTCATGTGTCAGGTTACCATAACCAAATAAACCAAACCAATTCTAATAATTTTTCTATAAACATGATATTTACAAGGACAAGCTTAACTACCAGATAACTTGGACATCCACATCCTCCCCTGATTTCATCTCCCTTAATAACTCATAAACCCATAGCCCCAAACTTTTTTCACTGATATTGTTTAAGATGTTCTAATGTTTAGCCTAATTAATGTATGTGCAACAATTTTAAGGCACAAAGTAGAGTTTGAAGTCTTTTTCTGTGCCAATATTTATTTTTCCTATTTATTATCATGGCAACATTGCTTCATTCAAAATTTCCAGTAGTTGTAGTCTGTGTAATGTGCACTTTATTCACATGTTGAACCTTACTATCAAATCTGCTTCCAGTATGTTTATGTCACAACTTTCAAAAGTTTCCTTTACTTAGATGTTTTTGCTGAGTTTTACTTTTTCAAACTGGTCTCTCCAGTTTTTTTTTTTTACAGGATCACATAAAAGCAATTATTCTCGCATTTTTACAAGATTTTTTAAATTTAAACAAGTCTCATATCAAGGATTTTGGACATTAAGGTTAGCAACTTCGATCACGTGCAGGGCCATCACAACTTATTCAATGTGGATCACTTTTCAAATATTAATAGTAGACCACTATTAAGTAATAGTCATTGACCATCCTCTCTCCCAGGAGGAAGACAATTACTACTTCTGGTCAAATTAACTTCATCCTCCATCTGTGACAGCCCCTCCTTCCTATCGGACCCATCAGTATGGTGGCATTCAAATAGGAAAATTACATAGTATGAGGTTACCGGCCTGCACAAAATATGATTTAAGTGGTTTTTGAGGGTGCCAAGTTTAAATATTTGGTCCATTTTTTTGTAAAATTTTATTCATTGGCATATCGCCATTTGATATTCAGCTGTAAATGAAACATGTTTAGTATATAATTTGTCTACAAGGATTTTTATTTTATTACTAGGACTTATTATACTGGTGACTTGATTCTGCAATTCAAGAAAACATTTCAGAAAAAAAACAGTCTTTATTTTTCACCTGAACACATGTTACACGATATCATTGTGTTTTGGACCTGTCGGTCTCTCATTAGCAGGTTTACGACCAATTTTGGTCATAAACCTGCAAAAAAGTAAGACTGCTTTATTCTGATATGTTTTCTTGAATTGCAGAATGAAGTCACCAGTATAACAAGTCCTAGTAATAAAATAAAAATCCTTGTAGATAAATTATGTACTAAACATATGATAAGGACACAAAGGCATATAATTTAATGTGAATGAAACAGTTTGTTAGTGCTAACATTATAAGAAAATACAATATTTTAAATTTTTTAAGATATTGTATTTTCAATTGGTGTCTACTTGATCAATGAAATTGTGCCATTTTGTATCATCCAAGTATTGCAATAAACATGACAATTGTAGGCTGAAATAACCAAACTCTTTATATGGTTTTCATTTTACTATTTGTTATATTATAGTATTTGACCTATATAACTAACTACAAAGGTTATATTACATAAGGATTTATCACACTGAGTGACCAATCTAACACATTTTAGAAATTTTCTTCTACTTTCTTCTACCGTACACAATTTAAAGAAGTTTTAAAATGTGTTAGATTGGTCACTCGGTGTGATAAACCCTTACATAAGATAACCTTTGTAGTTATTTAAATCAAATACTATAATATAATAGAAGAGTTAGAAGTACCCTACAAAATAATCTAATAATCATAATGTTTGTACTTATTTTTTTCCTGGGTAATGTTGGGCTTACCTGCTAGTTATTTATAAATTTCCTTTGAAAAATTCATATGAAAGAAAAATGTTAAAGTCAAAATTTCTAAAAGCACATTGTCTAGTCATTGTTCAGCATGCTAAAGTTGGCAGTTGTGTGTTTTTTGCTGAAACTTTTTAAACAATTTTGCTGAAATAACAATGCAATAAAACAAAAACTTTATTTGCTTAAAATGTTTCAGTGTAGCCAATATCTTGTTAATGAAAAGAAATTTGTTAATTTTTCTCTATGTTTTCAATACAGTTTTGTCTCAGGAATTTAAAGGTTTTGAAGAATTTAAAGAAACACACTGTATTAAGAACTTAATCACAAAACAATGCATAGGTTTTTGACTTTTATATTTTTATTTTATTCTTTCAAAATATTTTTCTTATTTATAAAACATCTAAAATGACTGATTTCAACTACAGTAAACTCCTGTACAACATGCAACTAGTACATATGCAAAATTCAAATTTTGTCGTTCAGAAGTATACTTTTCCCCCCCAACATTTAGACCTAGGTTTAAACTTGCATAAATTATCTTTTTGATAAAAATAATAACAAGAGATTTGTGGTTTCATACATAGGTATTATTCTGTCTTTTCCTTCCAATTTATCTATATTATATGGATGATATTTTAGTAAATTAAAGAAAGAATTTTAAATATTTCTTGAAAATTTCTAGATTATTTATTGATACATNTTAAAGTGTAATATTTGTTTATTATTAGTTGGTGGTTGGTGTAGTGGAGATGCCATAGCTAGTGTAGAAAGATATGATCCACAGACAAATGAATGGCGTATGGCTGCTCCAATGAGTAAGAGAAGATGTGGTGTAGGTGTTGCAGTTCTAAATGATTTACTTTATGCTGTAGGTGGACATGATGGCCAGTCTTATTTGAATAGCATTGAAAGGTAATGTTGATATTTTTAATTTTTTTTGTTGTATTGATCATTTTGTAATGTCATCATTGACATATTATTTTAAAATTATATATAGGTATGATCCACAAACAAATCAGTGGAGCTGTGATGTTGAACCAACTAGTTCTTGTCGAACAAGTGTTGGTGTAGCAGTTCTTGATGGTTATCTTTATGCTGTTGGGGGTCAAGATGGTGTTTCCTGTCTTAATTTTGTAGAACGGTTAGTTTAATTTATTGGAAATAAATGAACATAATTACATAACAATATTTTAAAATATATTGTTTTTATTTAAGATATGACCCACAGACCAATAGGTGGACTAAAGTTGCACCAATGAGTACCAAGCGATTAGGTGTTGCAGTTTCTGTGCTAGGAGGTTATTTATATGCAATAGGTGGCTCCGATGGTACTTCCCCATTAAATTCAGGTTTGTAAGTTAATGTATAATTTTTTTCATTATTTAAATTTATTTATTAAAATACAATTTAAAATAAATTACAAGTATGAAATTCTAATTTGAATTTTGATTTGAGATCTGATCAAAATCCAAATTGGATCAGAAGCCTGACATGCCAAAATTCTGATACAATGAAAAGCCCAATATGTCAAAATTCTAAAAGGATTGAAAACCTAACACATGAAATTTCTGTAATATGAAAATTTCACATTATTATAAAGTGAGGATAATCAAAATTGTACAAACAAATTTTTGTGTGAAACTAAGGAGTCAATATCAGATTGCTTTCAAGAAACTTGCATCGAATTAATGTATAAACACTTACAAAATAAACCCATTATATCTAACATTATATCTAACATTTTCAGTCATCTGATATTGCACAAATAGCCTGAAGAATGCTATTAAGGTCTCCTTTAGGCTATTTGTGTAATATCAAAATTCAAATAGGATAGGATAAAACATACAAAAATTACATTTAAAGTATGGAACATTATGTGATTGGTTGCATCTAAACTCGCCATAAGTTTCAACTAGAAACTAAAGGATGTTAAAGATGACTGAAAATGTTAATGATGAATAAAGTTAGATATGATGGATTTAAAAATTTTTTGTGTGTGTGTTTATACTATATAACCAATTATTTTTACTACCATCCAATTAATACTATTTTATTCCATTTTCTATTGAAATTATAACTACACTATTTAAACTTCTATAATTGTCACAATGTATGAAATTTTTAAATATTTATATTACAAATTGTAAATAAAATATTATCAATTAATATATGCTATTGTTTGTGAAAATTGCAACAATATGAAGGAATTGTAATATTAGCTTGAAATTTAAGGATATGTAAATCAGGGTGTGATATGCAAATGATCAAAATTGCAGAGTAATTCACATATCTAGGCTCAGTAGCATGCTCTTAGCTGTCAAGTAAGGGATATAAATACAGGATTGTTTAGGAACTACAGTTGGCCACCCTATAACATGGTACATACGTTCCATGTTATGTGATTTCCGTGTTGTACAAGTCACTTAAATACATGAGCCAATCACAGCCCGACACGTGTGCAGTTTAGGGACTATGTTTGAAAGGTTTTCTTCCATAAAATTAATCGATTCTAGACTAATTTGACTCAACATTTCCAAAATACGTATAATTTTTTGGGAATAATCCATATAAACTATGCTGTAGACAAGAAATTGTAGGATTACTTACTGAGTGTGTACCGTTCGACGACGTCATTGCTTAAGCTTGTTTTTGTTGCGGAGTGGCACTCCGTGATGAAAACCAGCTTAAGCAATTGGGACATTCCAATTTTCAACGCGAATGTTGAAGTCAACAATTTGACGTCATCAACAACGTTCCAACTCAAGTATGAAGTGCTTAGTTCCCATAATTCCATTCTCAGCAAAACGGATTCCATTCAAATGTCTTACCAATTACCCACAATTCATTGGAAAGTAGCAGTCAACATATCTGTTGAGTGCTGAGTGTGTTGAGACAGCACTGACAACAGCGCTACTTCAACATTGAAAAAAGGAACGACTTTTAACGAATGTTGAGATCAGCACTGAGTCAGCATTGAAATTCCCGAATGTCCCGAATGACAAAAGTTATTTTTCTGTGAAAAATTAGCTGAACTTTGGAGACATCATTAATAGAAATAATTTTTATGGCCGTTGAATAAGAAATGTTTTTTTCACAAGAAATGTATAAAAATTTATCAATACATATTTTCTACCTATTAAACTTTTGTTTAATTTATTAATTTTATTGATATTTAATATTAATATTAATTTATTAATTAATTTGTTAATTTTGTTTAATTTAAGTACCTAATTTATATACTGTACAGACGATAGTAAGCTCAACTTACCTGCCTAAACTCTCCGTAGCGTGGCGCTGGACGGCGGAAAGTAGTTTGGCTGCCCGTCCACTATTGGTCCAGATTTGACCAATCCTGTTGTGACATGAGTCGACGATGATGTTTTACCGAATTATAGGAGTTTTTTTAGCATGTTTGTATAAATACTGTTGCAATTTTTTCGCTGTGATATAGGAATCTGAACTATAGGAACCCGTGTTATAGGGGGTTTACTGTATATAAGTAGTGGATTATGGATAGTGAGATATGTGTCCAAGACTCATTATGCCTCATTAAGCCTCATTAACAATGAAGGGTGTAATAACATGTTCAACAGAGTTTGAACATGGACATATGATTGGCCTGCCTGGAGACAGATTTTAATACTGTAATATTGCTAGTCATACAGGGCCTAATGCTATGACAGTAAAGCATAGTGTGGAACATAATGTGTGGAGGTAATTGACCAAAGAGAACTGGTACATTGAAAATTCAGTAGTGGACCAAAAAATGTGACATTGCAGGATGACACACACTTCTATATGGCAGAATGTTATTTTACGCTCAGGAAATTAAAATTTGTTAAATGTACTGTACATATAATGTTATTTTTTATTATTAACATATTTTAACAAATTTTAATTTATCATGAATAATTATATCATGTTTTCTATTATACATATATATCTAAAAAAAGCAATGTTTTTTAATTATATATGTATATATCAGTTTATAATTATTCATAATTACATATTGAACAGAATAATTTATTATACTACTAGCAGGTGGGCCTGGCGTTGCTTGGGCAAAAGTAACGATAACTAAGATAAAGATTATTACGTTACAGTCAACCTTACCCGTTTTCACAGAATGCAAGAATTGGGTCCCCTTGTTTCCAGACTAATTAGAGAATTTTTAGATGGTTCTAAAAATATGTTTGATTTCCCGCAAAAACAAAAAAACTGCATCTGCGCCTGTAAATCTTGCAAGTCGCTTTCTTTTAACAATTCCATTGTTACGTAACACTTCCATTGTTGATGAAGCATTAAGCCTTAATCCTGTCTTTCTCCCCCCAGGGGAATTTCGAAAAATCTCTTCTTAGTGTGTGTTCTCGTGACATACCCTAACTGTATACCAAATTTCAACTTTCAACTCCTAACCATTTGGGCTGTGCGCTTATTATTATTATTATTATCATTATCATTATTATTATCAACCTGTCTTGATTATATTTATTATACTATATTAAAATTGGTTGATCGTAAATTTTTAAATTCATCTGACAATATGAAATATTATATTAATCACTTCTAGCACCTATTAGATTATTATGTTCTTATGTAGTTTTGAATATTTGGTTGACTAAATATGATACTGCTGCATAATAAATCTAATATGTTTTGTCTAATATCACACCATCAAATTAACCATTTCAAAAACTTCAGTATACAATGAAATGTTGATATAACAAATTCCAGTTTAACAAATTTTCAGTATAAGGAATTTATCTTGAATCCCTCCTGTTTCCTATTCAACTCAATGCAAAAAGGTTTCAGTTTAACCTAATACTGTAAAAATTCCATCTGTTACAAAAGAAAAGTTTCATTATAATGAAATCTATAAATGCATGTCTTTCATTTTCATAAATGATGAATATTATGTCAAACAGTCTGAAAACACTAATTTTAATCCTTAGTTATGGTTTTATTTTAATGTTATTACTTTACAGTTATTTCTTTTAAGTTTATGAGAAAAAAAAAGAAATGAAAGTAGTTATTGCTGGAAAAGAAGAAGACAATGATGTGCAAAATGAAAATGAAAGGAAAAGTAAAGAAAATAAAGGGGGGACAAAGAAGGGCCTGATAGTGTACTGGAATGTTGTATCACAGTGATTTTTTGAAAAAAGTTGGATAAACAACACAAATAAGAACAATTATTTATTGTGACATCATCACAATACTAGGCTGCAATTTTTAATCATATTTTTAATAATTTTTTAATTTAAAATATAGGTTCTTCACTCCAAATTAGTAGTGGCTTGCCTATATAGATCACACTTTTCCTTTAACAATAGAGTCGTCTTGTTCATCTCTCTAACACCTTACAGGGGAAAATGTCTGACTTGAAATAAAATGATTTCTGGTGTGTATCAGAAGTTTGCATATACTACTTAATCAGGGCCTTCTTCCCCTAAAGTTTCCATATCTTGTCTTAGTTTTCATCTAGCCATTCTTGAGGTTAAGGAAAGACAGTCGGACAGCAGTGGGAATTTATAGGTCTACAATTTTTTCAAACTATAGCCCAATTACAGATTTCTTTTAGTGGAAAATAACAGCTTCAAACAGCAATAATAACAATTAGAGAGGCAGGATTCCAACTATCAGTGCTACTGTTTTGCTATTTTAAATGTTTGTCGAAGAAATTTTGATAACATAAATTATATTAAATACAGAATAAAAATTTATACTGTACTGTAATAAAAAAAATTATGTTCTAAAAATGTGAAATTTGGTTCTATATAAATTGTAATAGATAAATTGCATTTTTAAAAACTTTTTTACTTCAAAATTTGTGTTTTTTTTATTGTGAATAAAGTTTTTTTTTATCATCCTTATGTTTTTGAGTGTGTTTCAATATAACAAAATTTTACTATAATGAAAATATTTTGATGGTCCCTACAATTTTGTTATGTTGATATTTCATTGTATTAGTTAAGAAGCTATAGATTTTGAATAAAAGTAGCAAAAATATATTAAACAACCACAATATTAAACTTTAAAAAAATTTAATTTATGTAATAAACTGTTTGCTTTCAATATAAAAAAAAATAATTTTTATAATATGCTTTAATAAAACTTGTCTTATAATAAAGTTGAACAGTAAGAGAGATAAAGATTGAGCAAGTGAGAATTTATTTTGCTTGTAATTTAGTATTTGTTTGCAAAGCTGTTAAGTATTTTGACTTGCCATTAATTATTGAAAAATTGTTGTTTATGATATTTACATATTATATTATAGCATTAATATGTTTTTGGAATATTGTAGAAAACAAACAACTGCAATTAAAGAGTTAAAGAGCTTAATATATGAGGCAATTTGACAAGCAGATATTTCACATTTCTACATGATGAATTTTTAATGAGGATGATGAATTATATTTATGGATATATAAATTCATTGCAAATATAATTTTTAATGAAATTGTTTATTTTACATTAAATAGAGAATGATAAACAGCTGTCTTTTACCAATAAAAAATCATTTAACTAAATAATTATTAAAACTTAGAAATCATAACGTAATTCAATATGTTTAACTTACATTGCATTAGCATTTTCTGCAATTAGTGGCAAATGATATGAAAATTTTTAAAGCTGTTCTATAAATGTAAAATTGTGCATAATATACATAGTAACAAAATGGTCTTTATTATTATTTTTTCCTCTCTCCTTCATTTATTAATATTTCTTTATTATTAATTTTATTTTAATATTAATGAATGATACATCTTTATTAGCATACTATTGACTATATTTATTATAAATTTTTGGCTAAGTTTAATTTATTTTAGAAAATGCAGAATATATTAAAATTCACATACTATATTAATTAATCATTCATATTTTTCTTCCCATAAATTTCCTCAAATCCATATTCTTCCTTCTCTGCCATAATAATAATGATATTGACTAAATGAATAAATGTTATCAATATGTAACTGATTAAAACACCATTAATTTCTAGGAATTATCACATCAACAGACTCCAAAAATACCAGCCAGTCAACAGCTTTATTTTACCCAGATGCATTTCAGAAATTACAATACAGTAGAGCATCGATTATTCAAATCAATTGGGGACTGGGGTTCGAAAAATTGATTTTTCAGATAACCGATTATGTATGAAAAAATACATTATTAATATAATATATTAGTATATCCCAATAATAATATATTACATATCCCGTGTTTAAATTTTTCTCCATTGCATGTTGCTTTGCATTGAATTTTCATTGATGTTAAGCCTAACAAAAATTTTTTATAATAATAATCGTGGCTATTATATTGTTAAAAATTATTTCTTTATTTTGTACAAGCAAAATAAATATATTGAAAAATATAAAAACAAAAAATTATACTTTAGAAGTTAATCTAGTATCAAAAATGTTTGATTCAGCATGACAGTCCAACTGGAATGCTTTCAGTTAACTGACGTTTTGGTTGATCGGCATTCGGATAATCGATGCTCTACTGTATTTCCCTCCTTGGTGGGCTTTCTTTCAAACAAGCCAAATGAAGCTCAAACACTGAAGAGGGAAATATTGTAATTTCTAAAATGCATCTGGGTAAATAAAGTTGATTGGCTAGTATTTTTGGAGTCTGTGAATATGATAATTCCTAGAGAATAACATTGTTTTAACCAGTTAAATATCGATATTTGTAAAATGAATTAGAAGCAGAAAGATAATTTATAGATAAAATAAATGTTTTTCATAAATGCTAATAAAAATGTATCATTCATTAACGTTAAAAAAATATAAAGAAATATTAATAAATGAAGGAGAGAGGAAAAAATAATAATAAAGACCATTTTGTTACTATGAATATTATGCACAATTTTATATTTATAGAACAGCTTTAAAAATTTTCATATCATTTGCCACTAATGAAGAAAATGCTAATGCAAAGTAAGTTAAACAAACTGAAATTATAGATAAAATGATATTATAGTCTTAAGCTGTATTTCTATTTATCATCATTATTTGAAAGGAATTAGAATTATGAAAAGCATATATTTCTAGTACTTGATATAATATTTTATGAATAATGGAAATTATACACTATTTTGTCATTATAATTAAGATATATACTGTATTCAAGGAGACTATTTCAGGATCTCAAGCTTTAGTAAAAATAGAAATTTAATTTTTAGTTTCTTCACTCAAAAAGAATGTTATTTCCTGACATTTTTTATGAGATTTTTTTTTAACTACAGTATAATGAAAAAAAAATTGCAACAAGGATCATCTTTCAGCCTGAAGCTACACATTTTACCAGTGATAATTTCATATCTTTTAATTTCATTGACCACCAGAAGGCATGTTATATGTTCGTTTGAGCATGGTCCCATCATTATGACAGGTCTGGACTCAGCATTGGAGTTTGGTGTCTGAAATAGATAACACCATGGAAGAGATTCAAAGAAAGGCACTCCATGTGCTCATCAACATTATGATAATGGATGTGAATGAACTGGCCAGTTTAACCAGTGTTCATTATCCTACAGTGCACAGAATATTGAAGCAATGCAAGGATAGATGTGGACCAGAACTGTCATCGGGATCGGGGTAGAAACAGTTTTTGTCAGTGAATGACATGTGACACAACTTGCACTGTGTTACCCATAATGGTCATTATGTCAGATTGCCGGAGTGCTGAACGGAGAAGACCAAAAGTGAGTGCTGCTAGCAACCAGCATCACTTGAAATATGTTGGCATCAAGAAATGGTGGCCTCTCAACATACCCGTATTGGCAGCCAAATGACATGTGGTCTGAACCATGGCCAATTTGAATTGGGACTGGAGCAAAGTAGTGTTTACTGACAAGCTGTTCCGAAACAAATTGATGTCATGGGGATGCAGATGGCCACAAAACTGATGCCAGTGCATGGACCAGTTGTTTTAGTGTAGGGCAGTATCATTACTCAAGGGACTATGCCACTCAAAATCATCTGAGGATTCATTAATACTGAACAATATCAAAACATCTTGCACAAATGTCTTTTAGAGATGATAGGTTTGGTCTATCTTGGGTGGCCAACAGTTTTTGCTCCCAGGCTGAATTGGAAAGAAAACTTTTTCCATGGGCCAAACCAGAGGCTGCCCTAGGAAGATTTCGAGGTGGTGCGAAATCTCATTGTGGTGTCACCCCATAGAGACTGAATTATAGATAGAGATTACAGATACATTTTTCACATTATCATGCTTTAGTAACATTCTATGCTGTACTTACGAGATTTGTAATGGAGGGTTAACTCTAAATGCACAGTGAGTTGTTGACCTTTTTTGTTTTTTCTTTCTTTTTTTAGGCATCAGAATTTTTTATCGAGCTATTCAGACTTCAGTACCTAATATTGAAAGATTGATTGCGGGCCACATAAATTCATTAGATGGGCCTGATCTGGCCAGCAGACAATATGTTGGCCATGCCTGGTCTATCTGGAAGAATACATTCTTAAGCAAGACAATGTGCACCCACATGTTGCACAGTCAACACAACAGTGATTCCTGGACCACAACATTGATGTCCTGGACTGAACAGTCTTAATTGAGCCCTGATTTTAGCTCAATCAAAAACCTGTGGGATATTCTCAAGAAACATCTGGAGCACCAAGATCATGTAAAAGAAAACTTTATTGCAAAAGTGCAAGCAGTTTGGGGTGCAACTGATGCTTAGCTGGTGGAGTTACTTGTGAGCAGCATGAGTCATTGAATTGAGAGAGTGTATTGCCAAGAATGAAGCAATGATTAAATGCTAATTTTCATAATTAATCATAAGTTTCAACTTTGTAATTTGTGTCTGTGAACAAATTTTGAAATTTGAGAAATAAACATGTTGAAAAGGCATTGCATTTGTTGCAATTTTACATCTATAAACATCACTAAACCCAATATATTAATAATAAACCAAACAATCACTGTATATAGTTAATCATTAATAATAACACTTAATTAGCCTGATTAATTGTGGTGATTGTTTGGTTTATTGTTGTAATTTTTGCTACATACTTTAGTTTTAATAAAAAAATATTATTTAAAACATTACCAATTGTATAGTATATGCAAGCTCAGTGTTGGATTTAATATTTATGAATGAAATACACTTTTAAATACAAAATGAACTGTTAAAATTCACAACTGGATCATTTTTGTTTTTCAAGATGTTATGACAAACACTTTTGATAATTAACACATTCTCATTATGAGATGAACCAACCAAATGGAATAATGGAATAAAATAAAAAATGTATCTTGTGAATTTTAACATAATAGGGAGTTGGTTTTGTATTTAATGATATATATTAGTGTGTGTTTGTATTTTCCTAAAAGACTAAAACTTTTAAGTTAAATTTTCAGAAAAAACTGAAAAAGGTAGTATATTGGAAAAAATTTATGATGAATCAAACCTGATTATTTCAGATTTTTTGGTTAATAAAATTCTGCTATTTTTGGTTATCTCTAAATTACTCGTGTAATTTGTAAATAATGAAAAAATAGTTGATTTATACATGATTGCAGCTAAAGCATGCATATATACTTATGTAAATTTATAATTGTATTTCTGAATTACTTTCCATACATTTGATTATGAAATCTGTATTTTTAGTGGAAAGATTTGATCCAAGAAGTAACCGTTGGAGTTGTGTGGCATCAATGGGTACAAGGAGGAAGCATCTAGGATGTTCTGTGTACAATAATATGATTTATGCTGTTGGAGGAAGAGATGATACTACTGAACTCAGTAGTGCTGAAAGATATAATCCTCAGACCAATCAGTGGCAACCAATTGTTGCTATGACATCCCGTCGTTCAGGAGTAAGTATATTATATGTATAATGTATATGTGTAAAGCAAAAAGATCTAACCTTACTTAAAATAATGAAATATTTTATTTTAGGTAGGCCTTGCTGTAGTCAATGGTTTGCTTTATGCTGTTGGTGGTTTTGATGGAACCTCATATCTCAAAACAATTGAAGTATACGATCCAGAACAGAATCAATGGCGTCTTTGTGGTAGTATGAACTACAGGCGACTTGGAGGAGGTGTAGGTGTAGTCAGATTGCCTCATCATGAAACTCATTATTGGTGATATAAGAAATGTGTTCAGGCCAGGAATGGGTTAAAATTTGAATCAGTTTATCTGTTAGCATATCAATGCAAGAATGGTATTATTTACAAATGATTCCAGACTTAATGAAATTTTATCAAAACTAAAGTTGTCCAAAATCCTGCTGGAAAATTCTTTTACATGAATTTGAATATTCCATCGATGAAATACAGTAATTATAAATAATATCCAACTACTTCAATATTCAATGCTTAATATTCAGAAAGAATTATTTAACATTTTCTGTATATTGAGATATTTCACTCTTTAAACTCTTCTTGTAAAATAAATTTAATAGGTCCTGCCAAAAATAGATGTAAATTAACTGATCTTACAATTAATATATATATATATATAGGACAATTTAATTCTGCTCATGTTTTTTAATTTGACATATTTGATAAAGTTATTTGAGAAAGTTTATTCACTAATGGATTATTTAAGAATTTTAATTTAAAAGAAGTTTTCTAATATTGTAAAAATATTTGTGTATATTTTACTTAGTTTTTGTCATTTGAATGTTCTGTTAAATGTAACAAAATGTAACAAATTGTTGTCTTTGTACATTTTTGTTCTGATTAGTTATGAATAAATATTAATTTTGACAGATCCTATTGTATGATAGAAAGTAATAATAATTTATCTTTTCTAACTTATATTTAACCACCCTTGGTTCCATAAAGTTATACTCAATGCCCCTGAACCCATTTTTCCTTGTTGAGAAAGGCTTGAAAATATTGTTAGAAAAACTTTTCTATGAAATTCACACTTTATGACCCTACCATACATTGTTCTCAACATTTGGAAACCATTAAATGCAATGTTTCTTCTTACTCATTTTAAACTTTAACCTTTGCCTATTGTCACCATTCAGTGACTTTAATCTTTGCCTATGGTCACCCACTTATGTTTCTTCGCCCCGTAGATTTACTCACCACCCACAGGGAACGGTAGTTTTCCCAGTTTGGGAACCAGAGTTAAATAACTTAAAATTGGATTGTGTTTAAAATTTACAAATTTCATTTACTTAAATGCATCAGTTTAAAATTGGTTATTATATTCTGAATGCAACAGAGATATAAGCATGGAACTGTAACTGTTTTATATTGATAATTTCTAATTTTTTATACTATACAAGCTCAATTAAGGGTAAATTTATTAATTCACATTTTTATATAAACAAAGAAATTACCGAACAAAATATTAGCTGGAAGAACTATAGAAAAAATTCCTTTAATCATTTGTTTATAAAAATTTTATATAAAGCATTTTAAAGGGAAAATTGATAACTAACGGTTATTTCCATAGTTTTATCAACTTTTTGAATATTCAAGTAATCTTTTTTTAACATTTTGAAACTAAAGAGAAAGCCACAATTCTTTTTATAATTACATACAAATTATTTAAATAAAAGTAAAAAATCAATAAAAATTCATTTACCTCTTCAACTCCCCTAAAATTTTATAATGGTATATCCTTGTGTAAACATTATATTGCATATGCTTATTCAAAGTCGGAAGTGGGAAGTGGGCGAACTGTGTATACAGAAGTCTAAAAATATTTTTTATCATAACATTGCTGATAAATCAAAAACTAATCAGTATAATGATTAATTTTTGATTAATAACTAACATATGAAAAAGAAATTAACTTTTTATTTAAGGATTGATAACTTCAGGTTTTCTTTTCAATATTCTATGCAGTTTATTCTTTTAATCTTTATCAAATATGTTATAAATGTTAGATGCAAACAAGAATTATTTACATAAGCTACAACAAACAAAATTACAATTCTTTATAATGTATAATCTCTTTATTTATATTAAGATACTTTCATAAATACAGAAATAAAAAAAATAATAATTTTCTTTATTTGCAAATTATTTACATTTTTTTTTAATATTTAAATAGCATACTATGTAAAGAGTTTCTCTTAATATTTCAAGTTTTATTTATTTATTCTTTGTCATTGTATCTTATTGCAATGTATTATTTGTGTATTTTTCTGTACACAAAGTTGCTTTTGTATTTTTTAATAAATGCTTTAAATTTAATTTCAGTTGGGTAAACTTGAAAATGCTGCATCCTGTTCATATACCTTCCTTGTTCATAATCCTGGACATAGTGTAATGCAAAACAACTTACAGTATTATGTTGGACTGCCTGAAGTTCAGTTAGAGAATATTAAATATTTAGAGCCAAAAAATTATCAGGTGATTTTATATATATACAGTATATGTATATTATGTATGAATATTTATTTATTTTTAATTACAATATATACNTGAATTAAACTAAATACATCTGAACATTTTCAAATAAATGATGAACAAAATTTACACTGTCAGTTGTTAGAATATACAGTTCATTTTGCAATCTATTTGTGTTAAACAACAAAAAGAATCCACTTATTTTATTTCATAAAGATAATTAATTTCTTTTATTGACTTAAGGTAACCCTCTTATCTTGGGAGGATGCAAATAATTGTTACAATAATATAAACATAATCATAATTAAATAACATAGTATAAAACATTTTCAATTTAAAAAAAAATTACAAATATGATATAAAGTTTGCTTAACATTTTAAAATAAATCATACAAAATGAAAACTTTATTTAAAGATTAGATACTTAAATTATGATTTAAGTATACTCTATTAAAATTCCTCCTATTAAATTAATGTCACAGTAGACCTGCTGTAATTAAGCTATACATTCTAAATCCCTAGATAAATTATTAAAATAAAAATATAACCTTGAAGTCCAGGAAGTTTTTTAATTTATTGGATGAGTACTGATGGTTTCATTTTATTTTAATTAGTCACAAAAAATAAAATTGTATTAAGTGAATGAATGATTAACTGAGATGATAAATCTTGTTTAAATGAATTGGAAGTATATTAAAATGTTTAGTCAATTACTTAAAGAAATCAGCTCTTCCTAATTGTTCCTGTTATAGAACAATTAGGAATAATTAATGATATGATTAAATAATGTTTATCAACTTTACAAACAGAATAATGAACAATGTTAAAAATTATTTTGAAAATACATTTCGAACAAAATACAGTATATTGTGCTTGTTTGCATACATAAACAGAAGAGATTATATTTCAGTGTACATGTACAGTACAGTACAAGTTGATTTCTAATATTACATTTTTATCTTGGAATTAGGAAATTCATAATATAGTACACAAGTAATTAAATTTTTATGTAAATGCTTTTTACATAAAAAGCATTATTCTTACTGTTACATCAAACATAGAATATAACAAAAATTTTTAATTCATAAATTTTATTTAAAATTTTAAAACCTTACTCATAAATATTTTTTCATTAAATTAATTTATAATTCTGTTATAATTTTATATATAAAAGAAAAACTACATTTGCCATTAAAACATTGAGGAAATATTAATTTGCTTGCCATTGAAACAAAAATTTAAGACTTACCTTATGTTAATAGATATAAACACAACTGATTCTGATAAAAGTTTTTATATAGAATCAAATGTTTGACACAAGAATGTATTTATATGTAATTATGATTTAAGTTACTGCTTAAGTAAGGATTATCCTAAAACAACTCACATTAAGCTAATTTCTTACTAATTATTACTTGCAAAATCAGACATATAATTTCATTTAAAAAATAATAAATGAATTTGTAGAAATCAGTTAAATCATTATATGAATGTAATAAATTGTATTTTGATTATATAAGACATATTTACAGAAATAAAATTAAAAATCATTAATAGAATGTTTTAAGAAACTTAAAACTAAAAAAAATTCACATAATAAGGATATGGACAATTGTTTTCAGTTTACTCGTAAAAAAATGAGCATATCTTCCTCTACAGAACTGTAATAAATAACTCAAAAATAACAGTTTTTAAATAAAATATGTCAAAGGAATCAAGAGGGGACTTTTAAAGACATATTCAAGACTTTTTATTGCTAACAGAAGCTTTATTATTTCTTTAAAATGTTTTTATTTTAATACTTTTATCATTACTTTTCAATTCTGTAAAATTTTTTTGTTGTTTAAATGTATATGGTTTATTTTAAGTAATTATTAAAGCAATGAAACATTTTATACATTTTTTTTATTATAAAACATTAAAACTGACCCCCTAAGAAAGTCCCTTGATATGTGTGCTCAAAAAATTAAGTTTGTTAGTTTATTAAGTTAGTATGTGCAAATGAACCGTTACATTTTATTAAATGAACCTTTAGAAATAATTTTAAAAGTTAAATTAAAACAAAATCTTTACATTAAATATTCCATAGCGACGTGAAACAACAATAAATTGTATAGTTAATATTTTAGAGATTGAATATTGTAAAAGTTCTAAACGATTAGAAATACAATAAACACATGTTAATCCGTCTCTCAGTTATCCGGCATACCTGCCGTTATAACATGTTTCTCTCTTAAAACCTTATCTTTTTTTAAAATACATACAGTAAACGTGTGAATTAAATTTAATCAAGAATTAAACTTGCAATTTCATAATTTCACAACAGTGCACCTTCGAAAAGAATTAGTAACGAATGGCGACAAGCCACGTCATTCGTTGCCCTTAAGCTTACGGGCACTCAGTAATCCGGCACTCTCTAATCTAGCACCCTCTGTGCACTGAATGGCTGGATTAATAAAAGTCTAGTGTACTTTTATCTCGTATCAAGTTCTACAATGCAAAGAGGTTATTATGTCACTGCGCGATTCACCTGTTGCATGATTTCTGAGTCCTTCACACATTTTCCCTTACAACATTTTCTTAAATGCGCTAAATATTAAATTAACGGCATTTATTCATAAATACGCCTTATAAAATTCTAAATTATTATATTAAAATGATAATTCTTCGTAAATTACTTTAAAAATACGACATTTAACTTACTGAAATTTCAAACTTACTGATTGAAGCAGACGAAAAATTGCGCGCTTTAAATTCATATATTTGTAAAATTTAATGTAACAAACACTCTTATTTTATTTAAAATATTAATTATTTATTTATAAAAAGTATTAATACATTAAAATATATTTAAAAATCTCTCTCGAGAGAAGGGAGCAAAATATTTCCCGCCACGTTAGAGCGCAGACGACACGAATTAAAATCCAACATGGCCGCTGTGCTGGTGGTTCTGGCGGAAACGTGGAACGGAACATCAATGCTAACGTTAAAAGTATCGGTCGGATGTTAATTAGAAAGACGTATGGTCGATTATATTTATCGAAATGTTAAGAATTAGTTTTATTTTACTTATAATAAGTTATCTAACTAGATGCGAAGCGGAAATAAATTATGACGTTTCATATAAACGTGGGATTCAAGCTTATTTAGAAAATCGCTGGGAAGATTGCGTTAATTACATAGAAAATGCCATAAATCAGTACAGAAATTATCTTTCGGCCATTTTAAATTGCCGTTACAAGTGCCATTCGTTTGTTGATACGGAATTAAATCAATCGGAAGTTAAAGATTTGCTTCGATTTTACGAATTAATTGTTAAAAATGCTTATTGTTTAATGAAGTGCGAAAAGTATTATTTTAAAACACGCCCCTCGATTAAGAAGGAAGTCGACAATGATTTTGAAAACAAGGTACCTTATGATTATCTTCAGTTGTGTTACTTCAAGGTAATTTCTTTTTAATCTATATAAATGTGTAGCATATTTTTTGCCTTTCCTTATTGATTTATTAATTACATATTTAAATCTGTTAATTTCAGACTGCTGAACCTCTTTGGCTTCCGGATAAAACATGTGAAATGTATCAATTTACAAATATTTTCGGAATCCACCCAGTTTGGGTCAAAGGTGGACCTCGTTGGACCGTTACAGTTTGTGAAAACGTTTAAAGCCAGCCATGACTTTGATTGTGTCTACTCTTGGACGATATATGGTTTCCGAAGCGTTGACAAGTTTGGTACGAAATGTTGTTACATGCTGGATGATGTAATATGGCTTGGCACGTCTTATACCAACTTGTTTAAATTTAATTCTACATGGGCATTCTATTCAAAACACAAACTTTTTCGACCTGAAGCCGGAATCGGGATTCCAAAACCGTTTGTAAATTGATACATTTTACATGTTTTGCTGGAAGCTGAAGAGCTTTGATGGTCTGAATATATTACATTTCCAGGGTTAGAGAAGTACATTTTGTCAAATCTGTTAAGGTCACTTTAATAATAATGAAATTCACTTTTCTCCTCTTTTTGGCATAAATGAGAAATAGTTTTGTGTTTACAAACCTGCAACACCATCCAAATATCAGCTTGTTAAATTCAGTAGTAAAACACCTTGTAAGAGTGAAAAAAATGGTATTCAAATAGCATTTTGATTCAAAACCTTCAACCTGAAAAAATCTGTGGAAAGGGCCAAAAACGTTATTGTTTCTTTCCATGATTATTTGCTGGAGATTTTTAAGGTGAGGTGTTTTACTACTGTATACATACAATCCAGTCTGAAGAATTGTTGTGAGGAGAGCTCATTAAATGCAAAAATTAAATTTTAAAAATTACATGAGTTCCTTTCTTATTCATAAGCAGTGGTGGATCTAAAGGGAGAGCTATGGAGGCATAAGCCTATCTATCAACATAAAAAGAATTAAAATTTATTTTTTCAAACTTCAAAAAGCTGTTTTAAAAAATACTTTTGATGGCAAATACAGTTTATTGGATCATCTGCAATACAAGTGGTATAAAAGTTAATAAAAGGTACTTATTAATTATTCAAATATTTAAAAATTTTGAGTTATCCCTCTCTTTGGATACTTTGGATTTGTCACTGTTTATAACTTGTCTCATAACGAAAGTAAGGTAAAAAGAACTAAAAATTTTAAATATATCACTATCATTTGGCACAAACTTTCACTTATACATTTATGAGTTATTTATCTTTCAGTATATCAGATTTTAATATTTAAATTACTAAAATTTGAATTGATTTTTTAATGATCTTAAATTTTAAAATCTTTATATTATATAAAATAAGCAATCATGCATAGTTTTCGTGTTTACTTGAGGAAAAAAAACAATTCTAAATTAGGAAAGTTAGATACTTTGTTTATTAGTATTGGAAAAAGTCCAGAATGGAAAATTAGTATGAGGATTGTAAAATATATTATCTCTCAATTATTTGAAACTGTATATTCATTGAGAGAATTTTCTGTTCAAGTAAAAAATATTATGTCTGAACTAGGATAATTTATGTATCTGTGCTTCCTAGTTCTAAATTATGATAATTATTGTAGTAAATTATCATAATTTAGATTTTAGTGATGAGGATTCTTATCATTAAAACACTTAAAATATGTTGCAAGAAGTCTTTAAATAAGTGTAGAGAAATAAATCAATCATTTAAGTAATTATTTTTAATTTATATAATGAATATTTTAGTAGAGATTTTAATATTAATTTTAAAAAGTATAAGTATGTTTTCAAACAAATCTATTTAATTAAAATCAATAAAAATTCATTTACCTCTTCAACTCCCCTAAAATTTTATAATGGTATATCCTTGTGTAAACATTATATTGCATATGCTTATTCAAAGTCGGAAGTGGGAAGTGGGCGAACTGTGTATACAGAAGTCTAAAAATATTTTTTATCATAACATTGCTGATAAATCAAAAACTAATCAGTATAAATATCAGTATAATGATTAATTTTTGATTAATAACTAACATATGAAAAAGAAATTAACTTTTTATTTAAGGATTGATAACTTCAGGTTTTCTTTTCAATATTCTATGCAGTTTATTCTTTTAATCTTTATCAAATATGTTATAAATGTTAGATGCAAACAAGAATTATTTACATAAGCTACAACAAACAAAATTACAATTCTTTATAATGTATAATCTCTTTATTTATATTAAGATACTTTCATAAATACAGAAATAAAAAAAATAATAATTTTCTTTATTTGCAAATTATTTACATTTTTTTTTAATATTTAAATAGCATACTATGTAAAGAGTTTCTCTTAATATTTCAAGTTTTATTTATTTATTCTTTGTCATTGTATCTTATTGCAATGTATTATTTGTGTATTTTTCTGTACACAAAGTTGCTTTTGTATTTTTTAATAAATGCTTTAAATTTAATTTCAGTTGGGTAAACTTGAAAATGCTGCATCCTGTTCATATACCTTCCTTGTTCATAATCCTGGACATAGTGTAATGCAAAACAACTTACAGTATTATGTTGGACTGCCTGAAGTTCAGTTAGAGAATATTAAATATTTAGAGCCAAAAAATTATCAGGTGATTTTATATATATACAGTATATGTATATTATGTATGAATATTTATTTATTTTTAATTACAATATATACAAACAACAACATAAAGTATGAATGAAATAACAAATGTAATAAAATTATGTAACTTTTGCTGCTATTTTTTTCTTATTTTGAAACAGCAAAATCAGTAACTAAGAATTATTTCTCATACCATTATACATATATATATATATATATATATGATGTGATCTAGAAAAATGTACATTAAGTTGGAAAAATTAATTTTTATTTTTTGAGTACATCTTATTATACAGATTAATAGTAGTATATAAGAGAGTATTTATAGCTTAAAATGCTGCTACACATTAGTAGAAACGTTTGGTGTTGAAATCTAAAAATCAATTTTGACCATTTTTTTTTATCTACAGCAAAATTTATTTTTTCAACTTAAGATACTTTTCCATAGATTGCATTACATATATATTTAATAAATCTGTAATAATATAGTAAGCATATTATATTTAGATGTGGATATAATTTATATACTAGCCTATACAAATTACTGTACATCTAATATATATATATATATATATTACTTAATAACTTTTTCTTCCAGTTTCTTTTAGTATATTCAAATTTTATTGAACTAAATTAATTCAAGAAACAAGTTAATTGATCTAAAATAGTGAAAATATTCAATATTTTAAATAATTGAAAATTAATTTAATTCTTCATTTGTTTTATTGGCAAGATAATTACTATAAAAATTTTAATATCTGTTTTATAATTTATTATTTTTAATAGGAATTTTATATAAAAGCTGTACAGATGTATGGGGAAGAAAATTTTTCAGAAGTTATTGAATGGATGGAACAAGCCTTGATAGAATATTTGAAAGCAGAAAAAGAATGTCAGTTGATGTGTGAAAATTCTATGTCTTCAGCTCCTGAAACAGATTTCATTGTATTAGTTGCCAGTTAGTATTTTAATGAAGAAAAAAATTTACTTTCTTTTCACCTTATTTATAATATATAAATTATTTAGTAATAGAATTTTTATCTTTCAGATCATTTTACATTTACATTAAGATGTAAGTTACAATGTCCATTAAAATTATCTCTCATTCATGGTCAACTTTATCAAAATCTTTTCTCTAATCATTATCATTACCTACAGTTTGCCTATTATAAAAGTTAGTGTTTCAAACCTTATAACATTATAATTTTTAAATATTGAAAAATTTAATTATAAATATTACAATAAAATATGACATTTCAGGAAACCAATTAAAGAAATCATGTGAAGCTGTAGCATCATATCTTTTGTTTCATCCAAATGACACTGTGATGTTAGAAAATGAGCAGTTTTATAAGAGTGTTAAAAGTGTTCAGAAAGAATGGTTTCGTCCAAGAGAAGTGAGTATTTTATGATTGCTTTATTGTCTTTATTACATTTCTTTGGAAATTAATATTTATATTTAAGTATTATATACATATAGGAAGCTGTAAAATATTATGATCAGTTAAAGAGGCAAAAAGAACTACTACTATATATTGAACAATCTTTCCAATTCAATGATTCCAATAATCAGGTATGTTATAATTCAATAAATTTAATTTTATTTTAATTTTTTAATTAACTATAATTAAATTTTATTTCTTCATCTTTTACATATAATGTCTGTATAAAATGCTTTTATAAAGCTTTTGTAAAGAATTTTTTTATTGATATAACAAATATACCAATTTGTATTCCTGAATAAACAAAACAAAAATTAAAATAAAAAGCTTGTAAAAAATTCGTTATATTTATGGATTAAATTCAGTGCACATTGTTTTTATACACCAAATATGTTCATTTTAATACTTAATAGTTTAGTACAAAATTTTTATCTAACAACTAGAAAATAATTTTTTGTGTATATCTAATGTAATAATTTAGCCACTACTGTATCTGAAAGTAAAATAATTTAAGTTCTTAAATTTTTTAATATAATTATAATTATTTCAGAATATTATATTCATTTCAAAATTTATTCAAACCAATAAACAAATGTGTATTTTTAATCTGCCATAATGATATTGTAACAAAAATACTTTAAAATTTTATGTAAAGTAAAATTATATTGAAGAAATACAAATACAAATATTAATAAAATGTATTTATTTAATTATTTCAATAAGTCAAAGATTGATTAATTAACGAACCATATTTTACAATTAAAAATACTATTCATTTATAATTAACAATATTTTAAATTATGAAATATGTTTTTAATTATTAAATTAAAAACATCATTCTAGAGCAGGGATTCCCAATGGGGTTGATATAGATCCTCTAGGAGTTAATTGAACTCGAGGTCACTTGATAGTCAATGGAAAAACCAGATACTTATTGTACTTTCGAGAATTTAAAGATAATTTTCAAATAAGACTAACAACAATTACATGGAAAAATCATTAAGTGATTTAATAATTTATTTGATATATTACTCAAATTCTTGGGAAATAACATTATTTTCAATTGACCCCCTTTAAAATTTTTATTTTCTATATGGGAGTCAATATGAGAAAAATGTTGGGAAACTAAGAAAAGTTTTTATATGACATAGATATTAAGAACACAGTTGACCAATGAACATAAACATAATCATCTGGTGTTGCTTGTATCCTTGTTTAGAAGAAGACAAATAAACATCAGAAAATGAGTTTAAGTAAATAAATAAATGTGCTTATATAAAAAAATTACTTATGGTAATTTGTTATCTTACTGATAAACAAACAAAAACAATTTTATTTAATTGTTTTTATTTATCACATCAATAAAATGTCAATACCACTCTGTTGTCTCAACACAAAATGATGCCATATTTTTTATTAGTGAAACATGACATTAAAATTCAAAGATTTAATGAACAAATTAATATTTCAAATAAACTTACAAATAAAATTTAGCTTCTTTCATTAAGATTTTGGAAATTTAATTTAATTTAAAAGCAATTTGTCTATTATTAAGCATTGATGACTGTTTTAATTAATAATTTTATAAAATGAACATTAACAAGATATTTATTATATTTAAATTAAAAAATTCATATTAAAATTTTTTGAACATTTTTATGATTCATGACAGTATATATAAAATCATTAAATAGACTAATATAATATTTAGTTATATTAGTATTTTACAAGAAAAATTATATAATTTTGTTTTGAGATGTTACAATTTAGTCAAGTTGTCAGTTCATCTTGTATAAAAATTTTAAATAATATATTTAATAGGGAATTGTTTTTAGGATATATTCTTAAATGAACCAATTCCACCCCCATCCCAAGTTAAGAATAATCATAATCATGATATTAATATTGAAAGGATAAAAAGAGAAGCTGATAAACCAGAAGAAGTATTAAAATGGGAAGAAGAAAATGGGGTTAGTGTTATTATGAAAGATAAAGATTTAAATGGATCTTTACGATTTGCTGCAGATGGCTTAGCTTCACAAAAGGAATGTGACAAGATGATTTCTCTTGCTAGAGTGAGTATTAAGTTAAATTATGCATAATTTTACTAATTTTGAAGTAAATATTTTAATAAATTCAGGAAGGTGCACTTCATGGTGATGGCTATAATGGGAAGCATTCACCTCATACTGAATTTGAAATGTTTGAAGGTTTAACAATTGGAAGAGCTGCAATTGTAAGTACAATATGATACTGACTATAAAGTAATGAGACATAACAGTATGAAATGCTATAAAAAAAGATTAAGTACAACACAATATACACAAAACTTTTATTGAAAAATATTTTTTCTTGATCAATAATGTGAAATAAAATCTGAGAAAAATCTTTGGATTCATAAATTAAACAATGATAGAGAATTTAACCATACATGAACAGGACAACTTAACTCAGTTCTTGATCTTTTGAGACAAAGATAAATGATAATTCAGTTTCAAAATTATTTTTCTTAAAAATACTTTAATAAGAATAAATTATTCATAAATCATCAATAAATTATTTAAAATGTTATCACAATAAAGTTACTTTTAATCTCAAACTGTTTTACTTTTTTATTATTTTAATTTATTCATTTTTTTAAATTTAAAATCAAACAATTGCTGTAAAAGAATATATTTCTAAAAATCTATTATAAATTAAAATTTTAAAATTGATATTTATCTTGCTTTATGTTTGAGCAAATTTGAAAATTATCTCTGAAGATTTTGTAATTTCTTACAAATGTTTTGCTACTTCCATTCTAATTGTATTGACTGTTGTGTAGCATTATGTCTAATCTTCTCTGGTTGCTTTCTACATGTCACTCATCCTTAGAATATTAGAAAAATTCTTTCTCAAACTTATTAAGTTTATTTTTAAAACAGTTAACGCAAAGAGGTATTCTCGATGCCGCATCTTCACAGATATTTTTAAATGTGAGTGAAAAAGCAAGAAAATACGTTGAGATGTATTTCAAACTTAACTCTTATTTATATTTTGCCTATACTCATCTTGTTTGTCGAACAGCTTTACCAGGTAGGATTAACTTTTTTTTTTATAAATAAAAATATCATTAAATAAATTTTTAAAGTTAAAATTTGTCATCAATATATTTTAGATTCTCCGGGATCAAGAACCGATTTAAGTCATCCCGTTCACGCGGATAACTGTGTATTGACGAGTGATGGACAGTGCCTAAAACAACGACCCGCCTACACTTGGCGAGATTATAGGTATTGATCATTTTTCCATCATATTCATTTTAAATTGAGGATAATAAAAGTTTTCCTCTATTTTAGTGCTATTGTATATTTAAATGAAGATTTTGAAGGCGGTGATTTTATTTTTGCAAGAAACAAAGAAACCATTCAAGTAACTAAGAAATTAATTACAAATTAATTAAACAAAATTTTAAAATTATATATAATTGTTAATTTTTAAAATTTTATTATTAGGCATCGGTAAGACCGAAGTGCGGTAGAATGGTTGCCTTTTCTGCCGGAAAAGAAAATCTGCACGGCGTACAAGCCGTTACTAAAGGTCGAAGATGTGCCTTAGCCATGTGGTACACATTAGATCCAAAGCATAAAGAAAGAGAAAGAGACTTTGCAGAACATGTTTTATCAGATCTTGTAAACAGACAAAAGGGGAAAGATAAAGTATCAAAAAATGATAAAGTAGACATTTCAACACTGATTCCAGAAAACAAATTAAATCTCCAGTCACCAGACAGCAAATCTGGCAGCTCTACTAAGAAAGAACCTGAAATGTTTATGGAGTCAAAAGCAGAAAGAGAACATTTCCACTTTGACTTATAGGCCAGTTAGTAAATCCATTTTCTAGTCTAAAGGATCAAAAAGTTATTAAGCCAGGATCAAATCTGTTATAAGTCATCACCATAAATTTTCACACTTAACTGTTGATCATATAATGATCAGTACTGCCTTTTTAAATTTTTTCAATATACACATTTATATTTTTATATGCTTTTTATGTGCATTTGTTTCAGGAGTATTCTAGTTGCCATAGAAGAGATATTATTATTATTATTATTATATATGTATATATATATATTAAAAAAAATTACTTTGTTGGCAATTTTTTGCAATTTTTCTAAATTAAAATGAAACACTTTTTCCATGTGAAATTTTAATATTAAAAGTTGAACATAAAAGACGATTTTTTTTGCCATTTTTTAAAAATAAGAGAAGAATAGGGATAAGAACGAGTTAATCGACCTTTGCCCATAAGTAAATTGCATATGAACAGATATTACACAAAATTTTTGTAATTATAAAATACATCAAAATGCCTAACAACGAACAGAACCGAATTAACATGAAAAAACTAACCAACTGCAACGCCTTCGTTTGTCAAACAGAATTCTTCTAATTTGTCTTATTATTTAGTCTGTCATCTAATCTACCAAGTCTATTTATCACGACGATAGTGAGGTCACGCTTTCAACGGTTTCCCTATTGCTCCATATGAAAACGTACCCCAGCAAAGTACACGAAGGGAGGAAGATGATGAATAAAAAAAAAAGAACACCTGTAACAACAACTAATGACCAAACGTTAATGAGAAGTTTAATAGCCAAAGACCTCATAGAGAAAACCCCCTCCCTCGTTAGATTAATACAGCGAAAGAGTTTAAACAAACAAAGTTAATTCTTCAAACCAGAATTGTATAAAGGTAGGTACATGTCACTAATTAACTTGTCTTATTCTAACACTCCATATTAAAATACCACGTTACATAGAAGGGGAGAGAGGAAGAGTGATCATTAGCATTGAAAGAAGTAAACTGCCTCGAAGATATTACGAGTTGATTTAGTCCTTTTATTCATCGGTGAGTTGTACAAGATTAATAGTCTGTTGCCTAAAGGAATACATACTCTGTTAGTTTTGGAACCTTTCTCTTCAATGAGGAGTTTTGTTATAAGACTGCTCTGTTCACACCACCCATTATTTATATCAGAATACTTCACGTGACGTGACTGAAAGAGCGCATTCTGTTGGTCCAGGGTAACACGTTTCGAGTTTTCATAACGATTTTGTTTGATCTCCACCGACTTCAAGCGTTATGTGTGGGATGATCTTCTGCATACTTCAAACAACACTATCTATGTGTATACGAATTTAAGTGCGAATGCACTTTTTCTTTCTTTCCAACCCTCGAAGACATATATTCTGCAAAAAGAGTATCGTAACAACTGTTAAAATTCTTTTGCGCGTTTTTATCTTCTTCCAGATGGAACTTGACAGATTTATTGTCTGTCAGCGTGAGAGTTAACATGTGCGAAACATCAAGTGGCTTGTGCTTTTTTTTTTTCTTCTTTCCTCTTCCGTAAAACTTATTCTCTATCATGCCGATCCTTTAGTAAATTTATCTTATTCCTGGCATTTGATATAAATTAATATACTTATGTACAACATTGTATTAACGTTTGTGATAAATTGCGGCCTTGCGATTTATGTGCGTGTCTCATGTTTTTGTATGCATCTACGTAAGAATCGGGCCTTTTATCGCGCGGTAAAATCTAATATTCTGCCTCCTAGTGCATAAAAATAACTCAAATACAATATTCAAATGAAGAAATTCCATTAATTAATAATGATATCGAAAATTACACGATACAGGAATACTAACTCGAATCATTACCGACAGATGGAGTTAAAGTAGAGGAAACTAATCTAAGCTGCCAGATTAAATTGAATAATTGTGTTTTCGTCATTAATTAAATCTAAATTACTCTTTTAAATTTGTATTATCGTTTAAATAATAATTTATCGATGATTATTCGTTAAATTATATTTTTAAATTGAAAAGGGAAAAAATTTTTGTAGAACTTATGTATAAGTTTATTAAATTATAGCGTGCGTGAAATTATGAAGTTGTATCATGCAAATTAAACATTTATTTTAGTCAGAAAGGAATGCTTTTTGATCTAAATTAAAAATTGGTTATATGAAAAATCTATTCGAGAATTCCCTTCTTGTCTTCTGGCAAGGTCATCTTCAAGGTTGCACCATCGCATCTATCACTGGCATGAACATCATTGTGCAGTTGTTAATGACTTTACACGGCAATGGATAAATCATGGTAAAAGGATGGCTTTCATGCCAACACACCGCATTTTCGATTCTTTTCTTTAGCACTTTCAAGTAATTTTGGCCCGGGTAGTGCAATATGGAAATTTTCGCTACATTTAAAAAAAAATCTTCTTCATTAAAAAAAAACAAGCCGCAGGAAGTTTAACACGCAAGAAAACTCCAGCTTGAGGCAGTACTTTCGGAGACATGCAAATTTTTGCTTTAGTATTTTTGCTCTACATTATATACTAAAAACGTAAAAGTTTAAATGATTTGAAAGAGAAACGTTTAAAATAGTGGATTTTGTGTTGTAATTTATGTAAAAAATGGCTTTTCCTGAATGAGAAATGTGATATTTAATATAAACAGACTAAAAATATTTAAAATAGTTTATCTAATAAAGTATTGAAGATAATGTATAAAAGAAACGTTGACAAAGTAGAATATTTAGTAAGCAAAATATAAAAAAAATAGCAGTAAAATTATGCTGACGAAGTAAATAAGTAAAATGTGAAGAGTGACAGTAAAGAAAACGTTGACAAAGCGAAAAATAAAATACTATATTTAGTAACCTACGCACGTGAATAATAATTGCAAAGTCAACGTTGACGAAGTAAAATATTCAGTAAACAAATAAACACATTAACTGCATGAAAAATAGAACAATTAGTTATCAAAACGTGAATATGNATATATTTAAAAATCTCTCTCGAGAGAAGGGAGCAAAATATTTCCCGCCACGTTAGAGCGCAGACGACACAAATTAAAATCCAACATGGCCGCTGTGCTGGTGGTTCTGGCGGAAACGTGGAACGGAACATCAATGCTAACGTTAAAAGTATCGGTCGGATGTTAATTAGAAAGACGTATGGTCGATTATATTTATCGAAATGTTAAGAATTAGTTTTATTTTACTTATAATAAGTTATCTAACTAAATGCGAAGCGGAAATAAATTATGACGTTTCATATAAACGTGGGATTCAAGCTTATTTAGAAAATCGCTGGGAAGATTGCGTTAATTACATAGAAAATGCCATAAATCAGTACAGAAATTATCTTTCGGCCATTTTAAATTGCCGTTACAAGTGCCATTCGTTTGTTGATACGGAATTAAATCAATCGGAAGTTAAAGATTTGCTTCGATTTTACGAATTAATTGTTAAAAATGCTTATTGTTTAATGAAGTGCGAAAAGTATTATTTTAAAACACGCCCCTCGATTAAGAAGGAAGTCGACAATGATTTTGAAAACAAGGTACCTTATGATTATCTTCAGTTGTGTTACTTCAAGGTAATTTCTTTTTAATCTATATAAATGTGTAGCATATTTTTTGCCTTTCCTTATTGATTTATTAATTACATATTTAAATCTGTTAATTTCAGACTGCTGAACCTCTTTGGCTTCCGGATAAAACATGTGAAATGTATCAATTTACAAATATTTTCGGAATCCACCCAGTTTGGGTCAAAGGTGGACCTCGTTGGACCGTTACAGTTTGTGAAAACGTTTAAAGCCAGCCATGACTTTGATTGTGTCTACTCTTGGACGATATATGGTTTCCGAAGCGTTGACAAGTTTGGTACGAAATGTTGTTACATGCTGGATGATGTAATATGGCTTGGCACGTCTTATACCAACTTGTTTAAATTTAATTCTACATGGGCATTCTATTCAAAACACAAACTTTTTCGACCTGAAGCCGGAATCGGGATTCCAAAACCGTTTGTAAATTGATACATTTTACATGTTTTGCTGGAAGCTGAAGAGCTTTGATGGTCTGAATATATTACATTTCCAGGGTTAGAGAAATACATTTTGTCAAATCTGTTAAGGTCACTTTAATAATAATGAAATTCACTTTTCTCCTCTTTTTGGCATAAATGAGAAATAGTTTTGTGTTTACAAACCTGCAACACCATCCAAATATCAGCTTGTTAAATTCAGTAGTAAAACACCTTGTAAGAGTGAAAAAAATGGTATTCAAATAGCATTTTGATTCAAAACCTTCAACCTGAAAAAATCTGTGGAAAGGGCCAAAAACGTTATTGTTTCTTTCCATGATTATTTGCTGGAGATTTTTAAGGTGAGGTGTTTTACTACTGTATACATACAATCCAGTCTGAAGAATTGTTGTGAGGAGAGCTCATTAAATGCAAAAATTAAATTTTAAAAATTACATGAGTTCCTTTCTTATTCATAAGCAGTGGTGGATCTAAAGGGAGAGCTATGGAGGCATAAGCCTATCTATCAACATAAAAAGAATTAAAATTTATTTTTTCAAACTTCAAAAAGCTGTTTTAAAAAATACTTTTGATGGCAAATACAGTTTATTGGATCATCTGCAATACAAGTGGTATAAAAGTTAATAAAAGGTACTTATTAATTATTCAAATATTTAAAAATTTTGAGTTATCCCTCTCTTTGGATACTTTGGATTTGTCACTGTTTATAACTTGTCTCATAACGAAAGTAAGGTAAAAAGAACTAAAAATTTTAAATATATCACTATCATTTGGCACAAACTTTCACTTATACATTTATGAGTTATTTATCTTTCAGTATATCAGATTTTAATATTTAAATTACTAAAATTTGAATTGATTTTTTAATGATCTTAAATTTTAAAATCTTTATATTATATAAAATAAGCAATCATGCATAGTTTTCGTGTTTACTTGAGGAAAAAAAACAATTCTAAATTAGGAAAGTTAGATACTTTGTTTATTAGTATTGGAAAAAGTCCAGAATGGAAAATTAGTATGAGGATTGTAAAATATATTATCTCTCAATTATTTGAAACTGTATATTCATTGAGAGAATTTTCTGTTCAAGTAAAAAATATTATGTCTGAACTAGGATAATTTATGTATCTGTGCTTCCTAGTTCTAAATTATGATAATTATTGTAGTAAATTATCATAATTTAGATTTTAGTGATGAGGATTCTTATCATTAAAACACTTAAAATATGTTGCAAGAAGTCTTTAAATAAGTGTAGAGAAATAAATCAATCATTTAAGTAATTATTTTTAATTTATATAATGAATATTTTAGTAGAGATTTTAATATTAATTTTAAAAAGTATAAGTATGTTTTCAAACAAATCTATTTAATTAAAATCAATAAAAATTCATTTACCTCTTCAACTCCCCTAAAATTTTATAATGGTATATCCTTGTGTAAACATTATATTGCATATGCTTATTCAAAGTCGGAAGTGGGAAGTGGGCGAACTGTGTATACAGAAGTCTAAAAATATTTTTTATCATAACATTGCTGATAAATCAAAAACTAATCAGTATAAATATCAGTATAATGATTAATTTTTGATTAATAACTAACATATGAAAAAGAAATTAACTTTTTATTTAAGGATTGATAACTTCAGGTTTTCTTTTCAATATTCTATGCAGTTTATTCTTTTAATCTTTATCAAATATGTTATAAATGTTAGATGCAAACAAGAATTATTTACATAAGCTACAACAAACAAAATTACAATTCTTTATAATGTATAATCTCTTTATTTATATTAAGATACTTTCATAAATACAGAAATAAAAAAAATAATAATTTTCTTTATTTGCAAATTATTTACATTTTTTTTTAATATTTAAATAGCATACTATGTAAAGAGTTTCTCTTAATATTTCAAGTTTTATTTATTTATTCTTTGTCATTGTATCTTATTGCAATGTATTATTTGTGTATTTTTCTGTACACAAAGTTGCTTTTGTATTTTTTAATAAATGCTTTAAATTTAATTTCAGTTGGGTAAACTTGAAAATGCTGCATCCTGTTCATATACCTTCCTTGTTCATAATCCTGGACATAGTGTAATGCAAAACAACTTACAGTATTATGTTGGACTGCCTGAAGTTCAGTTAGAGAATATTAAATATTTAGAGCCAAAAAATTATCAGGTGATTTTATATATATACAGTATATGTATATTATGTATGAATATTTATTTATTTTTAATTACAATATATACAAACAACAACATAAAGTATGAATGAAATAACAAATGTAATAAAATTATGTAACTTTTGCTGCTATTTTTTTCTTATTTTGAAACAGCAAAATCAGTAACTAAGAATTATTTCTCATACCATTATACATATATATATATATATATATATGATGTGATCTAGAAAAATGTACATTAAGTTGGAAAAATTAATTTTTATTTTTTGAGTACATCTTATTATACAGATTAATAGTAGTATATAAGAGAGTATTTATAGCTTAAAATGCTGCTACACATTAGTAGAAACGTTTGGTGTTGAAATCTAAAAATCAATTTTGACCATTTTTTTTTATCTACAGCAAAATTTATTTTTTCAACTTAAGATACTTTTCCATAGATTGCATTACATATATATTTAATAAATCTGTAATAATATAGTAAGCATATTATATTTAGATGTGGATATAATTTATATACTAGCCTATACAAATTACTGTACATCTAATATATATATATATATATATTACTTAATAACTTTTTCTTCCAGTTTCTTTTAGTATATTCAAATTTTATTGAACTAAATTAATTCAAGAAACAAGTTAATTGATCTAAAATAGTGAAAATATTCAATATTTTAAATAATTGAAAATTAATTTAATTCTTCATTTGTTTTATTGGCAAGATAATTACTATAAAAATTTTAATATCTGTTTTATAATTTATTATTTTTAATAGGAATTTTATATAAAAGCTGTACAGATGTATGGGGAAGAAAATTTTTCAGAAGTTATTGAATGGATGGAACAAGCCTTGATAGAATATTTGAAAGCAGAAAAAGAATGTCAGTTGATGTGTGAAAATTCTATGTCTTCAGCTCCTGAAACAGATTTCATTGTATTAGTTGCCAGTTAGTATTTTAATGAAGAAAAAAATTTACTTTCTTTTCACCTTATTTATAATATATAAATTATTTAGTAATAGAATTTTTATCTTTCAGATCATTTTACATTTACATTAAGATGTAAGTTACAATGTCCATTAAAATTATCTCTCATTCATGGTCAACTTTATCAAAATCTTTTCTCTAATCATTATCATTACCTACAGTTTGCCTATTATAAAAGTTAGTGTTTCAAACCTTATAACATTATAATTTTTAAATATTGAAAAATTTAATTATAAATATTACAATAAAATATGACATTTCAGGAAACCAATTAAAGAAATCATGTGAAGCTGTAGCATCATATCTTTTGTTTCATCCAAATGACACTGTGATGTTAGAAAATGAGCAGTTTTATAAGAGTGTTAAAAGTGTTCAGAAAGAATGGTTTCGTCCAAGAGAAGTGAGTATTTTATGATTGCTTTATTGTCTTTATTACATTTCTTTGGAAATTAATATTTATATTTAAGTATTATATACATATAGGAAGCTGTAAAATATTATGATCAGTTAAAGAGGCAAAAAGAACTACTACTATATATTGAACAATCTTTCCAATTCAATGATTCCAATAATCAGGTATGTTATAATTCAATAAATTTAATTTTATTTTAATTTTTTAATTAACTATAATTAAATTTTATTTCTTCATCTTTTACATATAATGTCTGTATAAAATGCTTTTATAAAGCTTTTGTAAAGAATTTTTTTATTGATATAACAAATATACCAATTTGTATTCCTGAATAAACAAAACAAAAATTAAAATAAAAAGCTTGTAAAAAATTCGTTATATTTATGGATTAAATTCAGTGCACATTGTTTTTATACACCAAATATGTTCATTTTAATACTTAATAGTTTAGTACAAAATTTTTATCTAACAACTAGAAAATAATTTTTTGTGTATATCTAATGTAATAATTTAGCCACTACTGTATCTGAAAGTAAAATAATTTAAGTTCTTAAATTTTTTAATATAATTATAATTATTTCAGAATATTATATTCATTTCAAAATTTATTCAAACCAATAAACAAATGTGTATTTTTAATCTGCCATAATGATATTGTAACAAAAATACTTTAAAATTTTATGTAAAGTAAAATTATATTGAAGAAATACAAATACAAATATTAATAAAATGTATTTATTTAATTATTTCAATAAGTCAAAGATTGATTAATTAACGAACCATATTTTACAATTAAAAATACTATTCATTTATAATTAACAATATTTTAAATTATGAAATATGTTTTTAATTATTAAATTAAAAACATCATTCTAGAGCAGGGATTCCCAATGGGGTTGATATAGATCCTCTAGGAGTTAATTGAACTCGAGGTCACTTGATAGTCAATGGAAAAACCAGATACTTATTGTACTTTCGAGAATTTAAAGATAATTTTCAAATAAGACTAACAACAATTACATGGAAAAATCATTAAGTGATTTAATAATTTATTTGATATATTACTCAAATTCTTGGGAAATAACATTATTTTCAATTGACCCCCTTTAAAATTTTTATTTTCTATATGGGAGTCAATATGAGAAAAATGTTGGGAAACTAAGAAAAGTTTTTATATGACATAGATATTAAGAACACAGTTGACCAATGAACATAAACATAATCATCTGGTGTTGCTTGTATCCTTGTTTAGAAGAAGACAAATAAACATCAGAAAATGAGTTTAAGTAAATAAATAAATGTGCTTATATAAAAAAATTACTTATGGTAATTTGTTATCTTACTGATAAACAAACAAAAACAATTTTATTTAATTGTTTTTATTTATCACATCAATAAAATGTCAATACCACTCTGTTGTCTCAACACAAAATGATGCCATATTTTTTATTAGTGAAACATGACATTAAAATTCAAAGATTTAATGAACAAATTAATATTTCAAATAAACTTACAAATAAAATTTAGCTTCTTTCATTAAGATTTTGGAAATTTAATTTAATTTAAAAGCAATTTGTCTATTATTAAGCATTGATGACTGTTTTAATTAATAATTTTATAAAATGAACATTAACAAGATATTTATTATATTTAAATTAAAAAATTCATATTAAAATTTTTTGAACATTTTTATGATTCATGACAGTATATATAAAATCATTAAATAGACTAATATAATATTTAGTTATATTAGTATTTTACAAGAAAAATTATATAATTTTGTTTTGAGATGTTACAATTTAGTCAAGTTGTCAGTTCATCTTGTATAAAAATTTTAAATAATATATTTAATAGGGAATTGTTTTTAGGATATATTCTTAAATGAACCAATTCCACCCCCATCCCAAGTTAAGAATAATCATAATCATGATATTAATATTGAAAGGATAAAAAGAGAAGCTGATAAACCAGAAGAAGTATTAAAATGGGAAGAAGAAAATGGGGTTAGTGTTATTATGAAAGATAAAGATTTAAATGGATCTTTACGATTTGCTGCAGATGGCTTAGCTTCACAAAAGGAATGTGACAAGATGATTTCTCTTGCTAGAGTGAGTATTAAGTTAAATTATGCATAATTTTACTAATTTTGAAGTAAATATTTTAATAAATTCAGGAAGGTGCACTTCATGGTGATGGCTATAATGGGAAGCATTCACCTCATACTGAATTTGAAATGTTTGAAGGTTTAACAATTGGAAGAGCTGCAATTGTAAGTACAATATGATACTGACTATAAAGTAATGAGACATAACAGTATGAAATGCTATAAAAAAAGATTAAGTACAACACAATATACACAAAACTTTTATTGAAAAATATTTTTTCTTGATCAATAATGTGAAATAAAATCTGAGAAAAATCTTTGGATTCATAAATTAAACAATGATAGAGAATTTAACCATACATGAACAGGACAACTTAACTCAGTTCTTGATCTTTTGAGACAAAGATAAATGATAATTCAGTTTCAAAATTATTTTTCTTAAAAATACTTTAATAAGAATAAATTATTCATAAATCATCAATAAATTATTTAAAATGTTATCACAATAAAGTTACTTTTAATCTCAAACTGTTTTACTTTTTTATTATTTTAATTTATTCATTTTTTTAAATTTAAAATCAAACAATTGCTGTAAAAGAATATATTTCTAAAAATCTATTATAAATTAAAATTTTAAAATTGATATTTATCTTGCTTTATGTTTGAGCAAATTTGAAAATTATCTCTGAAGATTTTGTAATTTCTTACAAATGTTTTGCTACTTCCATTCTAATTGTATTGACTGTTGTGTAGCATTATGTCTAATCTTCTCTGGTTGCTTTCTACATGTCACTCATCCTTAGAATATTAGAAAAATTCTTTCTCAAACTTATTAAGTTTATTTTTAAAACAGTTAACGCAAAGAGGTATTCTCGATGCCGCATCTTCACAGATATTTTTAAATGTGAGTGAAAAAGCAAGAAAATACGTTGAGATGTATTTCAAACTTAACTCTTATTTATATTTTGCCATATAANTGAAAACCAATGGACTTATGAAAATATTTTTAAGATTTTTCACGAAAAATAATTATTGTTTCCGCTTCGTACTAAGTTTTTTGTGTTAAATACAAATTGATTTCGATACTTTTTAGAAATCTTGATTGTTTTATATGAAATTGAAAGTTTGTATATTTGTTTTTTTTTTTTTTTTACTTTACGTAAGGAAATTTACTTTTTAATTATAGTAAAACCTGTCTAAAATGGGAAAACTTCTTCGGGACGGAGCGATTTTTTTTATGTTTAAAGAAATCTGTTTTAAACGAAAACCTGTTAAACCGGAGAAAATATTCGGTGCCACGCGATTCCGGTTTACACAGGTTTTACTGTATATGGGTTTAACTAAAAGTTTATTAAATTTTTAACTTTTCTTCTTAATTAATTCTAATATTTTTTTTAAATTGGTGAGTTTTTTGTTGTATTTATTTTTATAAAAATAATTAAATTGATTTACACACGAATGAAATTTTTATTGTGATTTTCCGACTAAATATACGAGTATTTTTCTCTTATTTTTACTTTCTAGAATATTATATATTTAGTCGAATGTTAGAGAAATTGAATTTTAACACAGATAAGAACTGATAATTTTATATTAATTGCCTTAACTGTGTAAAATGTCGATTTGCCTGTGTTCTGCACGTGATGATAATTGATGAATTCGCGACAATTCCCGATTGATCACAGTACAGTTGATTTATATATCCCTTATTTAATTTGTTTAAAGAGTAAGAACAAATTATCTTTTCTTCAAATTTTTCTCTTTATCGATATTATTCGACGAGGAAAATTTATAAAAACTTTAACATTAGTATGTTGCTTTTTTTTTTCTTCTTCTTCTTCTTCTTCTTTCTCCTTGCTTCTGTTCGCATTTGCGTAATCATCACCAAACTATTGTGTCCTTGGAATACTTGGAAACTGCTAATATCTCGTTTCCGAAATGACTTCTCCGTGTCATTTATGAGAAGAGATTATTTAACAAATCGGCTTCATAGATCTCTAGATTTTCGAAATGATAGCGTGCAGATTTCAATGAAAAAAAAATCTTCTATAGGTCTTCATATATATTTCACCCCGTTTCTTCTTCGTTTTTAATATATATATCTTAAACCAAGTTAGTTTTAATACTGTGTTGGATAAGAGATGATCGGTTCTGTCTCTGCTCTAGAACAATTGTTTATCTGTGAAGTTTCGACTTGTAGAAGGCGAAAGATCGACATAAAATTTAATGTTACGCACTATTTTAAGGATGGTTATTACGTTTGTGTTTTGTAGCCGAAAACGTCGACCTAAATGGACACAATTAGTGAAGACGGCGATTAGCCGGGTGGTGGTGGTACAAGTCACAAAAGCAGTGGAGTCGTATCTTTTCGACCGATCACCAGATGTCGTTTGACGCTTAATTGGTAGAGTTAGATCTGATGGACAATGGCTGTTTTGTCACGTATTCGGTCATCACTGTTTTTACCTTGATCATCTTCTTCCAATCCAAACGAAACCTTTCGTTTAGTGAAAGAGTAGACACAATCTATTACACTTATTTCTTCTTTCTATCAGCTTACTTTCCTAGACCTTTATTAATGGGCAAAAAGTCTTTAAAATAGGCAAAAATCTTATGTAAATAGATTAAATTTTATATATGTATATATATATATTAAAAAAAATTACTTTGTTGGCAATTTTTTGCAATTTTTCTAAATTAAAATGAAACACTTTTTCCATGTGAAATTTTAATATTAAAAGTTGAACATAAAAGACGATTTTTTTTGCCATTTTTTAAAAATAAGAGAAGAATAGGGATAAGAACGAGTTAATCGACCTTTGCCCATAAGTAAATTGCATATGAACAGATATTACACAAAATTTTTGTAATTATAAAATACATCAAAATGCCTAACAACGAACAGAACCGAATTAACATGAAAAAACTAACCAACTGCAACGCCTTCGTTTGTCAAACAGAATTCTTCTAATTTGTCTTATTATTTAGTCTGTCATCTAATCTACCAAGTCTATTTATCACGACGATAGTGAGGTCACGCTTTCAACGGTTTCCCTATTGCTCCATATGAAAACGTACCCCAGCAAAGTACACGAAGGGAGGAAGATGATGAATAAAAAAAAAAGAACACCTGTAACAACAACTAATGACCAAACGTTAATGAGAAGTTTAATAGCCAAAGACCTCATAGAGAAAACCCCCTCCCTCGTTAGATTAATACAGCGAAAGAGTTTAAACAAACAAAGTTAATTCTTCAAACCAGAATTGTATAAAGGTAGGTACATGTCACTAATTAACTTGTCTTATTCTAACACTCCATATTAAAATACCACGTTACATAGAAGGGGAGAGAGGAAGAGTGATCATTAGCATTGAAAGAAGTAAACTGCCTCGAAGATATTACGAGTTGATTTAGTCCTTTTATTCATCGGTGAGTTGTACAAGATTAATAGTCTGTTGCCTAAAGGAATACATACTCTGTTAGTTTTGGAACCTTTCTCTTCAATGAGGAGTTTTGTTATAAGACTGCTCTGTTCACACCACCCATTATTTATATCAGAATACTTCACGTGACGTGACTGAAAGAGCGCATTCTGTTGGTCCAGGGTAACACGTTTCGAGTTTTCATAACGATTTTGTTTGATCTCCACCGACTTCAAGCGTTATGTGTGGGATGATCTTCTGCATACTTCAAACAACACTATCTATGTGTATACGAATTTAAGTGCGAATGCACTTTTTCTTTCTTTCCAACCCTCGAAGACATATATTCTGCAAAAAGAGTATCGTAACAACTGTTAAAATTCTTTTGCGCGTTTTTATCTTCTTCCAGATGGAACTTGACAGATTTATTGTCTGTCAGCGTGAGAGTTAACATGTGCGAAACATCAAGTGGCTTGTGCTTTTTTTTTTTCTTCTTTCCTCTTCCGTAAAACTTATTCTCTATCATGCCGATCCTTTAGTAAATTTATCTTATTCCTGGCATTTGATATAAATTAATATACTTATGTACAACATTGTATTAACGTTTGTGATAAATTGCGGCCTTGCGATTTATGTGCGTGTCTCATGTTTTTGTATGCGTCTACGTAAGAATCGGGCCTTTTATCGCGCGGTAAAATCTAATATTCTGCCTCCTAGTGCATAAAAATAACTCAAATACAATATTCAAATGAAGAAATTCCATTAATTAATAATGATATCGAAAATTACACGATACAGGAATACTAACTCGAATCATTACCGACAGATGGAGTTAAAGTAGAGGAAACTAATCTAAGCTGCCAGATTAAATTGAATAATTGTGTTTTCGTCATTAATTAAATCTAAATTACTCTTTTAAATTTGTATTATCGTTTAAATAATAATTTATCGATGATTATTCGTTAAATTATATTTTTAAATTGAAAAGGGAAAAAATTTTTGTAGAACTTATGTATAAGTTTATTAAATTATAGCGTGCGTGAAATTATGAAGTTGTATCATGCAAATTAAACATTTATTTTAGTCAGAAAGGAATGCTTTTTGATCTAAATTAAAAATTGGTTATATGAAAAATCTATTCGAGAATTCCCTTCTTGTCTTCTGGCAAGGTCATCTTCAAGGTTGCACCATCGCATCTATCACTGGCATGAACATCATTGTGCAGTTGTTAATGACTTTACACGGCAATGGATAAATCATGGTAAAAGGATGGCTTTCATGCCAACACACCGCATTTTCGATTCTTTTCTTTAGCACTTTCAAGTAATTTTGGCCCGGGTAGTGCAATATGGAAATTTTCGCTACATTTAAAAAAAAATCTTCTTCATTAAAAAAAAACAAGCCGCAGGAAGTTTAACACGCAAGAAAACTCCAGCTTGAGGCAGTACTTTCGGAGACATGCAAATTTTTGCTTTAGTATTTTTGCTCTACATTATATACTAAAAACGTAAAAGTTTAAATGATTTGAAAGAGAAACGTTTAAAATAGTGGATTTTGTGTTGTAATTTATGTAAAAAATGGCTTTTCCTGAATGAGAAATGTGATATTTAATATAAACAGACTAAAAATATTTAAAATAGTTTATCTAATAAAGTATTGAAGATAATGTATAAAAGAAACGTTGACAAAGTAGAATATTTAGTAAGCAAAATATAAAAAAAATAGCAGTAAAATTATGCTGACGAAGTAAATAAGTAAAATGTGAAGAGTGACAGTAAAGAAAACGTTGACAAAGCGAAAAATAAAATACTATATTTAGTAACCTACGCACGTGAATAATAATTGCAAAGTCAACGTTGACGAAGTAAAATATTCAGTAAACAAATAAACACATTAACTGCATGAAAAATAGAACAATTAGTTATCAAAACGTGAATATGACTAAAAAACGTTGACTAAGCAAAAAATAAAAGTGATGTCCTATTTAGCAAGTGAAACGTGAACATTGATGTCAAAGAAAACGTTGACGTAGTAAAATATTTAATAAGGGAAACGTGAATAGTGACGTCGGAGAAAACGTTGATAAAGTAAGAAAAGAAGAAAACAAAGCATTAGCAATTAATATGAACCGAAACAAATTCAAAAGCTGCAAATACTAAAATACTGGAACAGGAAAGTGTTTATTACACCGATCTGACTGCATGAAGAAATTCATGATTAAATAAATCGGTTAAAAATAAGCTCAAACTTAATGACGTTTTCAAGACAATATTAATTAAAATTACTTAAAAAGAAAAAAAAACTGCATGTTTAATCAGACGAAAAATATTCCCGGCGTAAAAAAGTAGCCAAGATTATCAGAAAAAGGAGAAATATGAGTAAAGCGAGATGATAATCCAAATTTATTATGATATTTTCCAAAAATTGTAAACATTTATGTTACACAAGCTCAGTATAATCCCCTCAGAAATTTATGACATTAAAGTCAAGAGCAGAGAATTAAATTATTTAAAACAAGCTAAAGATATAGAAAGAATTTTTAATTATCTCTTA